AATTTTGTACTCTGCAGCCTCACTCACATACGTCAATGTCACACAGATGCGCTCTCTCTCTCTCTCTCGCTCTCTCAGCCTCACACTTGCTACCTACACAATCTAGAATGGAAATGAGGCACAGAAATGTGCGTTGTGATTCAGTCTGCTAGGTACCAGTCATGTAAAAACCGGTGCCATATTGACACCCGGTTTTGGTACCCAACCCGAGAAATGACGAGCTTCAGAAGAGCATATTGACCATGGTTTGTCCTTTGGAGATCTGCACTTTTAGTATTGCTGAACAAAGCTCTGCAAAGCTACATGTACTGTATTTGCCGGCTCATCAACATTTGCTATATTGCTCATCAGAGGAAATGTGAAATACACACAGATAGCTTAATTCATTTCCACAGAGTTTAAATTCAACAAGATAAAAATCACATCGCATTACTTATCTTCACAATCACTTCAGCTCCCACTTCATGTTTAATCCCTAAATGAGGCCCCATTAGTTTCATTCACAGCACGGCACACACTGGCCTAGAATCCTGGCTCACAGTGTCACTTGGCAAATCAACGCTAATGCGCTGCTTACCTGTTTTCGACTAGTGTAAACAAGCCTCTGGACTAAACCGTGAGTGACAGATGTAATAGTTTCCTCAACACTGCCCAAGCCTGCTGTCATTACAGCAGCTTCTCCTCCGCGAGAAGATAGATGGCTCTATCAGATATAGTGTTGCTTGGCTGCCTGTCAAGTTCATTTGCAATCAGATGAAATTCCCCTTTAGTCAGGTACAACGACTTTTGCAAGTGACGTCAAGAACTTTAGCTTCACCCACTTAACAATAAATATCCTGGCACATTCCCACACAGACACATATGTGCATACACAGCCAGACAGATAGCATGCTCTGCCAGGAACTCCATACTTGATAAAGAGAGACAGAAAAACACATTGAAACAGAATGTTAATTTAGTAACTGCAGAGCTGTCTGTATAACTACTGCTGAATGTAAGACTGTACCGCTAATTGCATTATACTCCAACTTCATGCTGTGAAAGCTTAATGATGATTTTTTTTTTTTTTTTTACTATGAAGTCTCAGAATGAATATACATGGAAACCTATTTACCAACTGAAATATGCACATACTTCAAGCACATCTTCAAAATTCAGCACATGGTCAAAATTCTCATTTCCAAGCCCATCCTTTTCATGCATAGCAATCTCATATGCAGTGAAACCAAACAGTTCATAAATCATTGAGGTGAGTGAGAGAAGTGGTAACAAAAAAGAAGGAGAAAAAAGAAAGTGACGGAACTCATTATAAAAGATGGATGGATGAATGGGGAGATAAATCCAGGAGCCAAGAACAGGACAAACGTGATATATTGGGGAACACACAGCTCATATCCAGCTTTCGCGTTTGTGTGTGTGTGAATGCAGTGGTGGATGTCTTTTGATGCCACACACCTCTTGGACCCCAGAGAGTATTAATTTCTTTGTTCATTCATCCATCCATCCACCCATTCACTGACTCAAAAGCAAGTGACTTGAGAAGGAATTAGGAATGTCAGAAACAAACATCTGATATGAGAGGTTATGGATACCAAGAACTCGGGCTGGGTATCTGTACTCAAGACCTTAACAGGTTTCAAGTACCATACTCAGCACTCGGTACTTTTTACCCCGCAAAAAAACCCCAGTACCAAATAATATCAAAATGTCTCCAGTCAAATGATACCTTCATTCGATGCAGTGGGGGTCTGATCCCAGACCCAGAGATTACATTAGCTGAGATATGCTGGCTTTTGTGCAATAAAATGTGTAGTTGTCTGTCAAAGGAAAATACCAGCGGCCGAAATGTGCAGTGGAAAATATGCCGACTTAAAATGTAGATGAAGTAATTGCATATTAAATAGTATAGTATAGTTGCCAAGACAACTTAAATATAAACTTAAATTAAATAGACCTGATTTTCGGATGTTAATTACTGGCGAATCTGTTTATCCACCGAAAGCTGTACAGAGTGTGCCTGTGCCTCTTCGGAGCATACGCCACATCCATGGCGGTCACAGTCTTCCTCAGCGTGCTTAGTGTACTTAAGTGATGACATCACAGATCATGTTTTCCAGGAAGACCTCCAACACATCGCAGGTCTCCATGTAGAACAGACACTCCACCACAACGACCCAGATGGTAGATTGCCTGTGTGGTTTACGCTGAAGAGGGAAGGGCTGCAAAGTGCGCCTATTTTCCGTGGAGTGCTGCCCGCTTCCTTTTGGCTTCCATGTTGAGAGATGGGGCTGGTCATGAGACCCGTTTCCACTGAAGAAGTGTCTGGTACTATTTGGGGGGCAGGAACTTTACAGGAACGTCCTCTCGCTCTGCCCTCTCAACCGCCGTGTCTCCACTGAGAGGGTGGAGTAGGAGGAAGGTTCCTGTAAAGTTACCGGGCTCTGGATGTGACTCCTTTTAAAAATGCGACTCCTTGTCTGCTGAGTTTTAAAAATGCCGGCTATTTTGTCGCTTTCTGTTGACGTCACATCCCGCCTTGAGTATATCCAATCAGCACCAAGTAAACCCCAAGCCCCACCCAGGAGTTTTTCGGGGCGGTTCTGAATACCTACTCAGTACCCTGTAAAAGTTCCAGAACTCTGTCCTTCGGGCGTGGTTCCTGCGGTGAAGACATGCACCAACGGCAGTGGAAACAGGCCTATATTAAATGCTCTGCTGCTGGCTCTGCAGCAATAGTTTAAGAATCGGGTCCATTTTTTCCGCGAGCCATGAGTGAATGTGGCAGGAAAAGACACTGTAGTGTATTATGAATGACATAAAGGCCATATTAGATGTGATATACATGATCTGATTATGATAAACGATAAAATATGAATACCATGCTTCCACATATTTGTCAGTTGTGTCTAAACAGAGAGCAAGAGAGATTAGTAAACACACACAGACAGAGACACAGCTCTACATGTGATTAGAGCACAGCAGAGATGCAGACTCACTTGCTGACCAGAGCAGAGAAATGGGCTTCTGGTGTGAACGGCCAGGTGACTGCTGATAGGCAGTGGTGCGACTATTGACAAATTGGGGTGAACAGAGTCTTTTTCCTCCTTTGACTCTGGAAATTAACCTGTGATTAGTCACTCTTTTTCAAAAGGTCACCTCTTTAATTTGTTTATGTTTTTTTTGGTTTATTTAATATGATGTTTTTTTTTTTATCGCTATTTAAATGTAGGCTATTATATGGCTATTTAAAACAAATGGCCGGCAGTTGTTCTATATGGCCAAACTTCTTGAACATTAATAGCCATACTGGAATCTACCATAAACCCTATCTGGTCCCTATCTGGATCAGCAAACTGTCTTGTGCTGCCATCTCCAGGGCCACTCTCCTCCCGGTGAATGGTTAGTTCAACGTCTGCCTCGTTAGCACGAGCTAACACAGCAGCAGCGGCTAACAACTAACATCAAGCCTTTAAACAGTCCCAACAAAGTCGCACCAAGCTAGCTCGACTCCTTAAAGCTGTTAGTAACCGTTAGGTAACATTTGCCAAGTGATTATCATAGTTAGCCCTGTCACTGTGTGTGTATGGCCAACCAGACTCCTACAGCTGTCCTTGGTGCGGAGCTCACACTCCCCCAGCAGTGTTCAAAACTATGGCTGCACTACATGCTACTCCATTGACATTATGGGTAGCAAATGAAGTCCTCTGTCAGTATTGTGGTTCTGGTATTGTAATTATTAAAATGATACCCAGCCCTACCAAGGACAATGCTTTATACTTGAACTGTCTCAGGGAGGAATCATAGAGTCACAGTTCTCTCCTTCACTCCTCCACTAACTGGGAAGCTGCTTGAGTATACCCACTTCCGGAAAATTAAAACGAAACAGATAACTTCTAGCAGCAGTCTTCCCTTTAATTTATCCCTGACTCCTTTTGGGAGAGGTGACGTCTCAATCACTGGCCTGACTTTGGCTTTTGAAAGTCCCTGTCAATCTCCCCACACTGATTTAAGGCCAAAGCATGGCACCGTGGCATCCGAGCCAGAGCAATCCATGCTGCATAATTCAACACTGCTCCCAAACCTGTCTCATTAAGGATCCTGGCCATGGTCCATGGCTCTGAGTATGAGGCTTTGAGTGACAGATCTGTTGCCAGCTTAGTACAAACAGGCACAGACCCAGTGTAAGCCCCAGCTTCAGCTTCAGCTTCGGCCCCTTCCAAACCTGGCAAAAACTAGCCCCGGCTCCAGTCTTAGTATGTGTCCCACACGTGACAAGCAGCAGCCAGACTGCGAAAATTAAATCAACTCCAAGTCACCACTATAAGCCCTGCAGTTGATAGTAAGTTGGGATGCAGGATTTCTTTTTTTCTGACCTGGAAAAAGTGGATTTTCCTCAGGGGTTGCATGTTTTCTCAAACTCACTGGCACAACATGATGTCAGTGCACATGGCTGGCCACACAGTTGAACTAAACACATTGTATTTGCAGTAATGTGTGCTGTTAATTAATGACAAAAGACTCTGAAGTTTGATTTTCAACATGGCATGTTATTAAATGCTATGTTAGTCGGGTCAATTAAAACTTTCCGCTTCTTGTCAACAGCAACAATTTACTGCAGGGGTCCGTATGTTTCCCTCCTTGGTTGCTCTATTGCAGAGAAGTCGGTAATGACGTATTTGTCACTTCCAGCTTCCCACCGCCGACCATAACGGATGTCCCATTAGCCCCTAGTTAAAGTTTTGGCCCGAACTCTTGCTCTGGTTCAAAATCCAGCCCAGGCAATTCCTCAGCCCATGGCCCGATCTCAGACTGAATTTACTTCAACCAAAGTGACTGCCACACCCCAGAGCCAAAAAAGATTTACGAAAATCAAAGATTTATCTGCATGGATGCAGAGTTTGCCACATTTGACTGACGTAGTGGGAGAGGAGGATATTTGCCTTCTGCATCAGTGAGAATTTCATTTAGCGAGTCGACAGAGGTGGGAGACGCACACTGACCTGCCAAATGAGGGGGGCAGGTGACGATCACAGCTCTGCACAAGAAGGTGTTGGCGATGGTCGTCACCCTGGCCCACTCAGCATCCTGTTGAAACATATAAACAGATATACAGCTTTATTTAATAAGCAAGTTGCACAGATTGTTAGTACATCACATCATCTGTGGTGTGGTGAGGCTATTTATAAGTGTGATTTCCTGACTGATTATGGACACACTTTTTTTCCTCCCAAATATGGTTGCACAATCTGTATTCAGTTGGATTTAATTACTTTACATTTCTTCTCTCCAGTAGCTGACATTATATTTTCATAAGTATTTAACTGTGTAGGAGTATCTAACTGTGCATATTTGAAAGTCTTTCTGTTTCTGTCAGTGCAACCATTTTATATGTCTAGACATGAACCTTGAGCCTGTGAGAAAATTGATTTACAACGAAGGTGTTGTAAATGTTGAGTAAATGTATCCAGACACGCTACTTTTTAATTAATTATGTATTTAACAGTGAAGGAAAATAATTTTCAGAGCAGATATTTATTCAAGAGGCTGAGTTTTATAAATGAAACTGATTAATTTCATTACTGTAGATTGTGTTTTGTATTTTCACGGATGCTAAGCTTAGACAAGGAAATATTGTCGTAATTTATGCAAATTATGCGGTAAAATAAACTATAAAAGGTGGTTAAATGACATTGTGATGGTAAGATGTTCTACTGTATGGTTTCTTAAAAGCTGCGGAGCTCCTGTATGCAAGCTCCCTTGGTCTCACATGCACTAAACTTAAGCCTCTGGTGATAATTAAAACTCGCCCACCACAGAACCTCACTGTACAACATAGAAAGCTCTTATCCTCTGAGACGGGAAAAACAGCTAGATATTTTTGGATGCTGAAAATTAGGCAGTAAATGTATTGTTTATTTTTAGCTCTCTTGACTGGCTCCCTTGTAACCTTAGGATTATTTTAAAAAATACTTTTATTCACAAGGATTAAAACAGTGAAGCCTCTCTGTAATCAGGAGTTCATCATCCAGTGTCAGTGTAACAACCCTTCAAATTGAAAGGTCTCCTAGCTCATCGAATTCTGACAAGCTTTCCTCAAAGTCTCAAGGAGGCCAAGATGCTGATTTTATATGTTGTGATTTGTATGTGCATGGCACCATTGCCTCGCAGCAAGGAGGTCCTGGGTGTGAAGCCTACTGGGACGGCTGTGTGAAGTTTGCATGTGCTTTCCGAGCCTCTGTGGGTTTCCTCTGGATGCTCTGAACTGGAAACTCTAAATTGCCTGTAGCTGTGAATGTGATGTGTGTGTATTTGTCTGTCAATAGGTGTTAGGCGTGTGATAGACTGGCAAAATGTCAAGGGTGTGTCCTTTCTTTCACCCAATGCATGCTGGGATAGGTGATAGCTTTCTGTACATGATACTTTTCTTTTTTTTATCCTTTTTTAATTAGTGTACTTGGGAGTAGGACTGCAATTAATTATTAATTTTAGCATAAATAATGTTATTATTTTGCCATGATATTGATTAATCAATTAAATTATTTAGTGCATTGGGCTGCAACTAACAGTTATTTTCATCACTGGTTAATTTCTAGGTAAATTGTTTAATATTTTGCTCTATCAAACAAACATACATGTGGAAAATCCATATCACAATTTCCCAGAACACAATGTACCCTCTTGAAATAGCTTGTTTTGTCTGCCTTCTTTTGAATATAATGAAACTATGTAGAGATGGCACTCGGGTTGTGGTGTCCAAAGCTAAAAAAAAACTTTTTTAAAAACAGAAATTATGACCAAGTTACTCAGGATAATCCACAGACCTTGTTGTAAGCAGTTTCATGTAGGAACAATTTTCCTGTTAACTGCACCCACCAACGGTATCATTGCACAGAAGGAAGCGTGCATCTGCTCATGAATGAGAGGCTCTTGCTTGTGACAGCCCCAGATGTAAACATTAATGCCGTCCTCCTCAGCTGAGCTATAATATTAGCTAGCTCAGCTGTGCTAGGTGAGCTAGCATTAGATGCACGCTTCCTCCTGCGTGGTGATTTGACTCATGGGTGAAGCTTGTTTGAAAGAAACCTCTTCCAACATGAAACTGTTCACAACAAGGTCTGTGGATTATCTTGAATAACTGGATTATGATTTCTGGAGAGAGACATTGCTGTTGAGTTGGCGCTTTGAGCACCACAAGCTGAGTGCCATGTAGTTCCATTGCATTCAAGAGAAGGTAGACAACTCTACGGTCGATATCTCCAACACTCGGCATCTCACACCAAAACAATCTAGACTGATTGATAGCAATGCAGGTACCAGGAAAAATACGTTTTGATTTTCGGGTGAAGAGTCCCTTAAACTTTACTGTCCTTTTATCTCCTTCAACTGTATTCAAAACTAAGAAAACCGTAAGTGCTATATCGTAGGCAACTGGACTTGCTTGCATTTCCTGAAGACGTTTCGCCTCTCATCCAAGAAGCTTCTTTAATTTTAAATGTCTGGTACGAAGTTGCAGGCTATAAACCCTGTGTGAGTGGGAACCCTTGCAGAGTCGTAGGGGTCACTTGAGCTCTTAGTTTCAGAGTTGTCAAGGTCACAATGTGAGTCGTTGACCCACCTGGCCACCATGTGAGTCGTTAGGGTCATGTGGGACCAGGGGTGAATCCTCCCTTTCCTCCCTGGCCAAGATGTGCACATTGCTGTCCTCAAAGGAGTGTCCGTTCTCCTGTAGATGTAAGTGGACAGCCGAGTCTTGACCCGAGGTGCTGGCTCTCCTGTGCTGTGCCATGCCCTTGTGGAGTGGTTGTTTTGTCTCCCCAATGTATAAATCTGTGCATTCCTGGTTGCACTGAACTGCATACACTACATTACTCTGCTTATGTCTGGGTGTTTTGTCCTTGGTGTGGACAATTACATACAACAGTTCTGTCATTTAGAACTGAAGAAGCCTCTTGGTTGAGAGGCGAAACATCTTCAAGAAATGCAAGCAAGTCCAGTTGCCTACGATATTAGCACTTACGATTACCATGACCTGGATGACTGAGAATCTTGAAGGGCAAGAACCTGTGATTTTTGATGGATGGATGAATGGATGGATGGATGGATGGATAGATAGATCTTTATTCATCCCAGGAAGGAAATTCAAATTTCAAATTTTTGTGGCACTTTTGCTCCCAAAATTGTTTTAACAGTTAATTGATCAATTGTTAAGCTAGTCAAAGATTCATTTTCTGTTGACTGACTAACTGATAAATCGATTAAGGGTCAGAAAATATTTTCCTTACAATGTTAAGTTTAATTATTTTATCCCGCCAAATGGCCAGAACCTAAATATGTTCAATTTACTGTGATGTAAACCAGAAAAGCACCAAATACACACTTTTTAGAGGCTATGACCAGTTAATTATTGGAGTTTTTGCTTGATGAATGACATAAATGACAAATTGATGATTAAAATTGTTGTTAGTTATTTTTTTGTCTATCGACTAAAACAGTTCACCTCTACTTTGGAACTTCTTAGCAAATGCAAAGTCAAATAACATTCTCCAAACTGAGAGACTTTGGTATTTAATTTAGTTTTCTAAATACCAAACCACTAATCACATTTTAGATTTTTTCATACTGTAATCACAATTCAGTTTTCTATCTGCTAACAGTCAAAGAATACATGAACAGTAGAATTTAATGGTATATTTGGGTAAAGCCCTACACTTAAGGGTTCATAGAGCCCTCTTGTTCTCTCAGCTGTGGATAAGGAAGACAGTCAGGCGGAACAGACAGTGCCTTCACAGGAGACGGCCTGTTTCCCCACTGAGGAAGCTGTTATCTCTGTGTCGCGCCTCATCAATCCCTGAGTGAGCTGTTACTGTACTCTACCTGCCATATGGCCGTCACAGCAGAACCCAGCCGGACATTCTTCCACCCAACACGTTCTGCCAGACACTGTGAAAGCTGTTGGGTGCCTCCCTGTGGAGAGACAGATACTACATTTACAATCTATTGATACCCTGGATGGGCACAGTGCTTGGAGTCAAAGGGTTTCTTCACCCAAATCACTAAACCCAAAACCTCCTGGTGGTGTCCAACCAGCCATCCAGATATTTCAATTATATAAGCCAATATTTTTATATATCTGCCTCCAGGACGCCACTGACACCTCAGTGCAATGAATAAAAATAAATACATTACAAATTAACATTAAAAAAAATCATCAGCAATGTGTTTTTCTGGAAACAGTGTCCGAGCTATTCTTGGAATAGCCAGGAAATTGTGGGAGCTGCTTTAATCCAGTTGCTGAAACTTGTTTACAGTGTGGCTTTTTCTAAATCATAAGAGCCCATTTATAAAAATCATAGAAACAAGACAAAATAAAACTAAAGGAGTACTGACTTTAATCTAAAATTTTAGATAAAAATATATTCAAAATCTTCTTAAAGAACAAAACAAGATAACATATCGCAGAGATGAGTTGTACCTCTGTTAGCCTTTAGTCCTTATTATCTACACTTGATAAGATTCCACATATTTGATGGTGCTTTTACTGCATCTGCGGTGTTGTAATGCTCACAGTGTTCAAGTAATACAGGTGAAATGCCATGGTAAGAAAATTGCTGCAGATAAAAAAAAAAGTGGAGAAAATGTGCTAGTGCACATAATACAAGTCTGGAACTAGAAAAGCTTTGTTGCCATTTTCTATTTTTCTTTTCTTGGCCTTCAGCCCTTTTTGCAGTCCACCACTCTGAGGAGAAAGAATGTTCAGAAGCAATAGCTCAAAAATAGGCCAGTATGGAACCATAACTTTCATGCTGAGGGAACTCATAGAAAATAGGAAAATCCAATACGAGACCACAGCTCCAAGTGTTTAAACTGTGCCAATCGATGACGTGTGGAGGACAAAGAAAGGCAATATGTTTGTTGGGACAGGGCTTGAACGAGATGTGCAGACTTTGTTGAAGGGCTGGTTGCTAAGTCTTATTAGTGTAAAAAAGAAATCCAATGCAGTGTCCAGTTTTGAAAAAGCACTCGTCAACAATATGCAGTAAGGGGAAGGATATGAGCTGTGTACCTTTATCTTGAGCTCTTGAGCAGACCCTGGAGTGCTCTCCAGCAGTGGCAGTAGCCCTCCAGCTGCTGCAGCATACATGAGGAAGAATAGAAAGGACATCTGGGATGGCTCCATGCCAAGGACAGACCTGCTACACAGTCCCATCTCCTCTTTGAGTTCTGGCAGAAAGGAGTGATAAATATATACTGAGCTCTCACGCATGCAGTAGTTATGTATCCCCATGCAATGACAGTATTCTGCAAAGCTGCATACCATATAGCGAACTACTGCATGAAGATCTACCACTTTACCATTGACCATTTCCTAAACTTCAGACAGGGTATTGTTAACAAAGAGACAACTGAGAGGATGAGGATACGTTTTATAACTATCTTGTCAAATGTAGATGCCTTTTTTGTCTGCAGTAAATAAATCGGGTGCTGTGATATATTTGGTTTGGCATAAAAATCTAAGCATGAGTAACAGTCTATACTTAGACATTTTTTGTACTGACAACAAATCACTTTGAACCACACTGAAATATCTCAACGAATATTGGATGGGCTGTCATGAAATTTGGTATAGACTTTGAATATTTCCAGATGCTAATTACTTTGTATCTGTGATAATTTATACTTTAGTTTATGACCAAAGTCCAGAGAAATTAATGATATTCCAGTTAGCCTTAAGGCTAGTTCACGTTACACGTTTTTCACCTTGATTTTGCGTCGCGGAGACTATCGTAATCTTTTGAGTGTTCGTACCTGGCGACGTGTGTTTCTGTCAAAGGGAGTCTCGCCAACTGCGTTACAACCTGTGTGTGCACACCACAAGATTTCTCAAAGCCCCAGATAACGCAATGACGTCACCAAACTACGTTTTTTAACTTGGAGACGACACATCGTAAAGGCATGGATATTCTTCTCAGTGTTGAGTCATATCTGCCTCCAGGGCCTGGGTCCGAACACAACGCGCTTCCCATGATGCTGTGGACGCCGCCATTGTTGTTGTTGCTTCCTGGCTGGCTGGCTTGTCAGTGTTGCCAGATCTGGGGAGAGAAACAAGCCAAAACGAAGCGACGGATATATATATGTAGAGAAAAACGACGTTTAGAGAGCAAGCCCAAATAAGCAACTCCACTTTAGAAACAAGCCCAAAGACTACCAATATTTGTAAGTGACTTTACAAAAAAACAAGCCCAAAGTCACGGCTAATTTCTTCCGTTATCCTGCGTGCTGACGTGGGACGTATCCCGCCTCTCATTGGCTGATGTTCTTTCTCAGTCGTGTCACACTTCTCCAGTTTTCTAGCATGCCAGATATCCAGTCCCAGTTACAGAGGAGGGGGCGACTTGCTTGTAGGCTTGTTCAACCAGCTCAGTGGCCTTGTGGTAGAGTGTCCGCCCTGAGACTGGGAGGTCGTGGGTTCGATCCCCGGCCGGGTCATACCAAAGACTATAAAAATGGGACCCATTGTCTCCCTGCTTGGCACTCAGCATCAGGGGTTGGAATTGGGGGGTTAGATCACCACATGATTCCCGAGCGGGGCACCGCTGCTGCTCACCGCTCCCTCAGGGGATGGGTCAAATGCGGAGAACAAATTTCACACACTCAGGTGTGTGACAATCAGTGGAACTTTACCTTTACCTTGTTCATACATGAGGACTCATCATGGCAGAGTATCTGCCGTTTCACCTCAAACCCAAGGTGGCTCTCAAGATCCTCTGCGACGTCAAAATTGCTGTGAAAATCGTGTAATGTGAACTAGGCTTAAGCTGTACTTCGGCTTTAGTTAGTTTTGCCCTTTTTCCACCACAATTTGTGTGGGTGAAAACCATTGAAAATAGGCAATACAGTGCTTTCCCATTGCCAGTAGAGCAGAGCCATATACATGTTTATGTGGTATGTCATGTTCCATGTCACAGAAAGGCCCGAAAACAGTTTAGTAAAAAGTAGAAAGCAGCGTGGAGGCCAGTGAAAATGTTAACTGGGGTTACTTTGTTTAATTTATCTCTTAAAATGAAGCCTCTTTCTCAAACTGGGTGTCCACTCAATTTTGATCTATGTTCAAGCACTGCTTGGATGGATACAGACATTTTTGGAGATATTTTTTCTGGTGGCCAGTCATTGCATAGAGCCAGTAAAGGGTGCCCACCTGGGTTCCATATTTCCATCACTGCTGATTGAAGCTGATTGGAGTTGGAGCCCATAAATACTTGTGGCTACTGTCTTGGGAGTAAATGCTGATTATAGCTATTACCAATAAATACAAAAAAGCCAGATGTTACTGGGTGTAAGTGGATTTTTTTGTCCAGTGGGAAAAGGGCTTCAGTTAAATTTGCACGTTAGCAATTGTCAGCATGCTAATGTGCTAAACTAAGATGGTGACCTACATTACACTTGCTACACTGAGAACTTATTAGTTTTGCAACTGCTATTATATGAGCTACCATTTTTACATTTACTTTGCCGAGACTGCTAAGGATCAGAGACAAACTGGACCTCATTGCGGCTTTTATTCATCTTCATTTCTTTCTCTTTTGCTTTTTTTTAACATGGAGCATCACAACCTCAGAGATGCTACTATTACTGTCAACTTATAATTGTTTCATAAAATACAACAGACATGTAAGTAAAGCATCTAGTTTACAGTTTATTTTTTTAACCGAATGTTTTTTTGTCTTTACTGAAGGGTTAGATTTGTATGGAACATACAGTAGCATCCATCACAAACCTTGTAAAACACACACGCAAAGTAGACTGAAGTCAGCATGCTCAGCTGAGGAAAATAAAGGGAGTTATATTTAAAGCTACTTTTAACCCTGACCTGTAGTCCACGCGTGTTGCTCAATGTATGAGTGCAGGGTCATACAGTCCAGCTCAACAGCGTTGGGAGTCCTCGAAGGATCCTCAACGCATACTGTGGCACACAATCTGTCAATCTGAGTGCAAAGTACAGTCACCACAACACGCCCACACATGATGCTTTACCACTGAGAGCCAAAAGCATCCCATTGATACAGATAAAAACAAAACAATAGTTGGAGGCTGCCAAACATGATTCTGACAGGGCTTTCCCCCCACATTTTCTACCTCCCACTGCTACTTTAAGCACTTATCCTGAGCAGGAGATTTTGTGGTACTTTGTTGTGTGATAAATATACTCTTGTCCTATCAATCCAAAAGCACACAGCAATATAAATGTAAAATACCATTACCACATCCATTTGGGACTTCTCATTGATTCCCAGCATAGCAAGAATATTGGATAATAAAGCTGATTATATGAATATAGGGTTGTAAAACTGGCCTCTGAAGAAATACTGTATATCTGCTGATATATGCTGTGTATCATCATTTTCTTGGTATACATGCAACAGGAAATTAATTAAACCATTCCTCGGCTTTATATTATAGTTGTCCACTGAGAGTAGGGGGTATTTAGCTGATCCTTATCAGACATAAGTATTTTACTCTGCTCTGATTGAACAAGGTGGGAAGTACAGAATATTGCTGTGTAAGTCTGTTGCCTCACCTTCCACAGGAGCTGGGTAAGATCCATTAGCACCACTGGGGACAGAGCAGGAATACTGGTTCTGTAGGTGCGAACTTTGGCACCTGGCCCTCCCATGTGGTGCACCTTCTTGCCAATATTGAATTGTTCGTAGGTCTCTAAGCCAAGCTCCTCTATAAGCTCCAAGATGTGTGTTTGGGTTCTGACAGAGAGAGGAAGCCATTTTTTATGTTGCTTATGTTTACAGTGATTCAGGATTTACTGTAGGATTTTAACACACTGTATATCACTCTATAACGCTATAACAGAGCTGATACATAATCATAAATGAATTTGTTCCGAGTTTCGAGAAGTGGGCTTGAGAATACAACATTGCTTGAGTGAGTGCTTGAACAACTGGGGGAAAAAACTGCTAAAATGTAGACACGAAGCACCTGAGAGATGCCCTCTCCTCTTTCAATTAAACTGTCATCAAAGTGCTCTTGAACAATGCACTTCACACATTCCCTTTTTGAACTGTTCTCTTGCCAAGAAGAACCACAGGTTGTAACCTACAAGCTAGACAGCTCTTAGATATAAATGTGAGAGCTTGTTATTTTGTTACTCTGTGAAGTGTTCTGAATCATGACTGCAATTTCTCAAACATCCTTTTTCAAGAAGGACTTCAGCTTCAGGGTTACTGTACAATAAGTCCTCTGAAACGTATGAGTAATTTGGTGGTTTGAATGTACGACAAGTTACTTCAGGTTGTTAGATTAGAAAACTTGGAACACAGTGGTCCCATGAGGTATTGAAAATAGATACATTACTGTGGCTGAAAGAGAAGCGAGACTGAGCACATGCAAAGATCTGAAAAGATAGAAAAATGTCATTACTTTCTACATGCCTGACTGTCAGCTATGTATAGCCATGTACTCTATTTCCTCTTACCAGCGCAACAGCTACTATTCCTGGGGTCCACTGGAAAAACATATAATTTCACATTATGATAGATAATCAAACTAAATGAATATAATTTCTGCATACATATGCACATCATTCTTAGATAAATACTATGCACTAACATAGGTAGTAGATAAACAAGTTGCAGCACTAGTTTGTAATATAATCAGCAGCACAGCAGCATACAAATTGCAGTCAAAGGCCTTGGGACCACAGTACCAGCCTACAAAGCACAACATTTAACAATACAGATCCCAATTTTGTTCTTTTCACAATACATTTTAGATACTCCGATCATGTGGGTTTTTTTAAATATTTTTTTTAATTGGCAGCTATACAGGCCATTTGTTGGGTCCCATCACAGCTCACAGGGTTCACCGACAAAACAACTGTCTTATAAACACGGCGGAGGGAGCAGCAGCCACATTAACCTTCGTCTCTTGGTCATCGGTCGGTAAAATTTCAGCCTCAGCAGGTTCTTTTGCTTTTGTTTTTTTGTTTTTTCACAATGCATGCAGGTTAGTTTTGTGTCTGACTTCATCCCGACTTGCTCTGACGTATTACAAAAGTGGACGGCTTTAAAACCGCGCTGCAGTTGCTCTCCACCGACTGCACCGCCTGGCTCTCACCAGATCTAACAGCTGATTGGTTTAGATGTCGACTCAACAAGATGACGTTTTAGGTAAACTTTTCATTTTTGTGGATTTTTAGAGATTAAGATTGCATTTGTCTGATTTGAAGGTTTATTCTGTGAACAGAAAACATGTTGTGTGACTGATGTTGAAGTTTAGTCGTCAGAGACTAAATACATTCATCATAAACTATACAGAGTCTACTGTATATTAACACTGAACTCTTTTAATTATTGAAGTATTTAGCAACACAGAGACTTGTGGTCAGTGGGATGTGAAGGTTCTTAAAATAACATCTGTACAGATGTGAAGCCCTGACTGTATCTGACTGAGCCTTAATGAAAGCTGTTGTCTTGTATTTTTTTTCCTCTGAAAATATGAACCTTATAGTCAAATACTGTTTATTTGGCCCCTGTAGTTGAGGGGACAGGTCAAACTGATAGGATGCTGATCTACAGGAGAATTCATATCAAATGGAGGATAAACCATGAACATAAATTACGGATTACTTGCAAAGCTTTTTAATAAATTAATCTATCGTAATTAAAACAGCTGGAGACTGAAAACAAATGGATATGGGTCTGATCACTTTTTTAATGAATTGACATCATTCCAGACAGGATGTAAGTGTGTCTGTGACTTCCTGTACGGACTGAAGGCTGCTGGAAACTGTCGGGAAACTGTCCGACTTCACCACAGGTTTTTGTCACCGCCCCCTGCTACGGCCGCCTGCTCTCATCTACTTTCCAGGCGAGGCGCAGTTCATCTCGAAAGTGTCTACTAACAACAACAGCTATCCACCTCGGCTGCCAGGAAACCAGCCGATACCAGCATCGTTCTCCAGTAACAAAAAAGGAATTTTCGCTGGTAAAAAAATAACTCGCCAGAGTGGCAAGTGGTCTTAAAAATTTACCAGCCAGAGACAAAATCTACCCGTAATTGGGGAGTGATGAGTGTTAGTTTTGGACCCTGCTAGCGCGTAGTGGAGATTTTCTCTGCCCATATGAAGCCAGGATAAATCACACACAAGACTAAAAATGCTATTTTGTGGCTGTATTGTCTTCACAATTTCTTGTGTTATAACTGTGAAATAGAAATTAATAAAAGCTTAATTTCCACTGAGGGAAATGTTTTTTTAGCTTACAGAAATAGACATGAGGCCTGCGTCGCTGCAACGTGTAGTTACAGTTCTGGGGAGGTGCACATCAGGCAAAGGCGTAGGCTAAGACATAGGTTATGGCATCAATTCGACACAGAAGAGTAAATCCCGCTTAAGTCTATGCTGCTTGCTGCAGTGGTGGGTGTTCAGTTGTAGTAAGATAATAGCAAAACAATACCTACTGTTGGCTTTTCCTGCTTTGGCTCCCAAACTGTGGTCACAGGGGAGACACTTTGTTCCTTCCAGAGTTGGTACTCTCATCAGAGCTAACCCTCGTCACTCTACTCTGACACAATACACAGGAAACTTTTGCTGGTCCTGAGGAGCTGTCACATTTAGTAGCACACAAACTGTAAAGTCTGTTGTACATTAATTTGGTATCTGCATCACTAAGCTTAAACTCTCCTCTGCTTCAATCACTCTTTCTCATCTGCATACTGCAATCGCTGTCATTTTTTCTGTCTTTCGCTCCGACACAAAACTGACACCAAAGAATTAGTAGCAACAAAGGCAAACTGTTGCATCACCTCACATTACCTGTTTCTCGGCCAAAAAGTTGCACTTGAACACACTGCAAAGACTACAGGCAAAGACCAAACAGCATGTACGTTATGTGTCTGCACAAGATGAGCTAACTCTTTGTAGCAGCAGGCGGCAGTAGTCTGTATTCATTATTCAAAAGGGAAACCGCAAGACCAACAGGACAGATTCAAGATGCTAATTAGCCAGTTAGCACATTAACAAACAACGACAACCCAGTGTTGAAAGAACAAAGGATATTTACCGTGCAACAGCACACAATGACAAACTATTATGAACACTTTCTGCTAAAGAGCTCAGTGATTAAAAAAAGTATTTTTCCTCATATAAAAAGTTTGTTTTGATCTCACTGCCTCTTGACATTTTTTAGTTTGCTTTCCTTTTCCTTTTTCACTTCTCATGCACTGGGCAGACTTGCTTATCAGAATGATTTCATTCACTGACTAGCTCCACCGTCTCCAGTGCCGATTTAACATACTCAATCCGCTGACAAAAGCTGACAAGGTGCCAACTAGTGTGAATGCTGCAAGACAAACTGCAAAAACTAGGGCGAAAGATGGCTTGACATTGATCAACGGCCAACCATTGGCTTGGTGTGTCAGGGCCAGATTCAAGACGCAAGTTTGCCAATTAGCACATTAACAACACAACCCAGTGTTGAAAGAAAAAAGGATATCTACCGTGTGCCAGCACACAATAACAAACAATTATGAACAGCTTCTGTTAGAGAGCTCAATGCTAAAAAAGTATATTTCCTCACACAACAAGCTCTGCAGTCTCCAGTGCTGTTATAACATGCTGAATCAGCTGAAAAAAGCTGACAAGGTGCCAAGTAGTGTTAACGCTGCAAGACACACTGCAAAAACTAGGGCTCAACATGGCTCAACATTGATCAACGGCCAACCGTTGGCTTGGTGTGTCGGGGCCAGATTCAAGACGCTAGGTAGCCAATTAGCACATTAACAACACGACCCTGTGTTGAAAGAACAAAGGATACTTACTGTGCACCAGCGCACTTTAACACAGACCGCTATGAACCGTTACTGCTAAAGAGCTCAATGACTAAAAAAGTATTTTTCCTCATATAACAAGCTCCACTGTCTCCAGTTTTGATTAAACATGCTCAATTGGCTGAAAAAAGCCGACAAGGTGCCAGCTAATGTGAACGGTGCAAGACACACTGCAAAAACTAGGGCGAAAGACGACTCAACATTGGTCGACGGCCAGCCATTGGCTTGGTGTGTCAGGGCCCTTACACACAGACACTTATCAGTGACTAGAAAGCATTAATCCCAATCTCCTGATCGTGTTTTTTTACTGATTATCGGCCGGACATTCGGAGCATCCCTATAATTGATATGAACCCTGTATTCGTCATAGTGTCCTTTTATCCATCTAACACTCATTAGAAATCTATTCAGCTATTCTTAATATCTGACTGACTGTCAGTAGTAAACTAGCAGCTTGCTCCAGAATCACAGATTTTATATTTGTCTCATGTACAGTGCTACTCAGCTGCATTTCAATTGCTACTAAATGGTTTTTCAGTGTTACAAACAAAACAAGTTCCTGAACAAATTGTTCCCTTTTTCTGTTCTTGTAAACTATAAAATCCATGTTAGACATAATTATTCAATCTAATACTCTTGTTATCTCCACCTGGGTGACACTCAAAATGTTACATTAGCGTGACTTGTTTTAGTTTCCTCTCTGTTATTCCTGTAGTTTTTTATCAGCCTTACCGTCCTACCCACTGCCCTCCAAAATCCCAGCGATCAACACCATTGGCTGCCGGTATTTCAGTGGACACTGTGCGACCTCCCACCCGATCTGCACGGAAACACGAGACATGATTCAGTGAGAGGCATACCTATTTTCAGCAGTTTCACAGCAAAATGAATCCAGTACAAAATGACTCACTTTCTCAGGTTACCAATTGCTCTCAATTTTACAAACCTTTTCCTTCCAATATCAGTATTCTCAACTTGGCATTCCTTTTTCTGAGCAAATGAGCCGCACTTAGTCCAGATAGTCCCGCGCCAACAATAATAACGTCCCAAATTTCTGCAGTCATATTCAAGCTCAAGTGACTACTACGTTTTTTTTGTGCCAACTTAACTGGTGCTGGTACACTGTGGAGTCAGAAACAGAGACCCAACTTGTATTCCCCTTTTCCTCTTCTTATCAGTTAGGTTATCTTGCAAAGCCTGGGCTGCTTTCATAATAGTGCACTTTGGAACTGTGAACAACTGAGCTTGTGACCTACTTGGCAAAGAATCGACAGCGCAATAAAAGCCAGGAGAAGGCTTTTGATTTCTGAACAGTAGAGATGAAATAAAGTCATCTGTATTCTTTTTGTCTTTCAAAAAAGCGTAGAGATTTATTTATTTATTTATTTTATTTAACATTTATTTTACCAGGAAAAGCTCCACTGAAATTAAAAACCTCCTTTATAAGAGTGTCCTGGCTGTGACAGAAAGCAGCACATTTAAACAACGGTGCAGACACACAACATGTAACTGTTACAGACGATAAAAAACAAAACTAAAACTGAATCATAGCTTACTAAGAAATTAGGTCGTCATTTCCTGAATCACATATGTGTTCAAAATACCGATTTTAAATCATCAATAAAATGAATATATAGTAATTTAGTTATTCTGTGCCTAAGCAATATATTTGCACTAGCATTATGAGTCGCAGTTATTAATTATATAAAATATTTTGTATTGAAAATCTCCAACTGGGACATACTTAAAGAACAACCATCACCCATTAATAATTGATGAACAGAGTGGAGTAATTAATAGTAGATCAGAAGCAAAATTCTATCAAGCTGTTGCCAGTATGACACAACACAGTACAGTATACATTAAAAATAAATAGCAGCTTGGAGAACATACTTAGAATTCAACATGACGGAAAATTAATCCAATAGAATAAATGACCGTTATTTTTTAACCCCAAACCGAATGGTGAAAATAAATTAGGAGCTAACAGCAGTCTGCTGGAGGAAGTGCTGAGAACTGTCTGCAAACTACTTGTATGCTTTTTTTATATGATGATGAACTTCTAAACTTTCTAGTGTGTCTTTTCATAAATCATGCTCTGGAGATATCACTGCAAATTAATCTTAATGACTGCAGCACTGGAAGTAATCCCTGAAGATTGTAGACACTCATACTTACAAAATATTCTGTTAGTTACAGGGAGGAAACAATGGACATCAGCTCAGTGAGGATGTGTCTTCCACAGGAAAATGGACAAGCAGACAGAATGTACTAAAGTAAGTGTTGTGTGCGTGTGTGAGTGAGTGAGTGTGAGTGAGAAATTGAAAAGAACTCAAACTATGGAGAAGAACATTAAAGGATGGCCACCCACTCACTAGAAATAATGTTGTAGGCCCATTATTAAAGCAGCACTTACCTTTCTGGAAGTTTTAAGCTTTTCTTTGTTTAGGTCAAAATGCTATTAATAAGCTGATGGCACACTAAAATGTAAGTGAATTCCACCAGAGATAAAAACTCCTAATTGTACCATTCTCATATGGTTCTAAGAAAACTCCGACCAATTATTGCGTTCGGACCAAATGCAATGATTGGCCAAGCGTCCTATCTGTCTTCCCCATGTAGAGGCCTCCGACTGACGTAACCACTCGCAGAGTTTCTGCTGGATAGGTATTTTTAATTTGCCTCTAATGTAACATAGGCTATAACATTATAAATGACAACGCAGCTAACGGTTAGCCTACTGTCTTGTTTGTTGCCAGTCACCATTACTATCTAACGTTAGCGTTTACGTTATATTGTAAAACTCATCAGTCATCACTGACCCCAGATACGTTTCAAAACTGCGGGGTTGCATTTGACTGTGCAGGACAGGTACCGTTATGCTTAGTTTGCTTCTAATATAACATATAACGTTATATGACAACACAGCATCCAGTTGCTAATGGCTAATGTTAGCCTACTGTAGCGTAGTCTCTGAAGCATTAACGTTATCTTCCTTGTGCGTTTCCACTTACTAGTAACGTTAACGCTACTATCTAACGTTAGCACTGTAACCTTATTCTAGAACTCAACTTTGCCTCTAATGTAACATAGGCTATAACGTTATATATGACAACACAGCATCCAGTTGCTAATGGCTAACGTTAGCCTACTGTAGCGTAGGCTCTGAAACATTAACGTTATCTTCCTTGTGCGTTTCCACTTATTAGTAACGTTAACGCTACTATCTAACGTTAGCCTACTGTAGCGTAGGCTCTGAAACATTAATGTTATCTTCCTAGTGCTTTTCCACTTACTAGTAATGTTAACGCTACTATCTAACGTTAGCACTGTAACCTTATTCTAGAACTCATCAGTCATCACTGACTCTGATTGAGTTTTAAAACTCCGGGATTGCATTTGACTGTCTTGGTTGTAACGTTACACTCGCTCTCCTCTTCCGTGTATCTAATGTTACCTTGCCAACGCCTACATCTATCATAAACGTAATTAGGACGTAATGGAGGAGGGGGGAGAAGGCCTTTGGAGGGAGGTGGAGTTGCAGTAGGAGGAGGATGGTTGTTGTGGATGTTCAAATTTTTTCTAAGTGCTGTGTGAAATGCAAGAAAGGTAATAGTTACTTTAACCAAACTCAAACAAAAAAGTAAATGTCACAATGCAACAGTACGAATCCACGTCCTCTTATTTACTTAACGTTTATTTGCTTTTATTTTTTATTAAATTTTCCTTCATTATCACTTTTTTTTTGTTTCATTTCTATAGTTTTTATATAGTATTTTATATCATTTTTTGCAAACTTCTATGAGTAAATTAAAGTATATAATACAAGGCTTAAAAGTTAAAAAAAATGTCTGGCCAGTGGAGGTGAAAGATATTATTGGCAGTGCACATTGTAGCTTTAAATAAAGGATCTCTAGAAATCAAAGTGGTACTGTACGTGCATGATAAAAACTGTGTATATTTTGTGGTCTATCTTATGAAACAGTTACTAGTACCTTGAGACATTTGGCTGGTTCATTTTCATTCACTTGCTTACAAACTGAGGACAATTATATCAATGTTAAAAGTAACTGATTAATTCATTTTCACAAAGTGTAATGAGATATTATAACACAGTAACATAAAAAGCATGCCAACAAGGCTTGGTGGAAGAATTAAGACTTGCATGTTTTTTTCTAGGACTCATGTATTAATCCAAGCAGTGAAACTCCCTGCTGTATTTGCTTGGCTCGCCTGTTTTCTTGTGTCTTTGTTTATTTTTCTCCACTGAAGCTGTTTTCTATCAAGAAACATTATTCCCAGAGAAGCCATACTTGGCATGTTGGGGTTTATGGTGTCCAACTACTTAGACAAGGCCAAAAACTCATATTGCACAATAGTTACACATGTTTATATCTTCATTGCCAGCTGCAACAGCAGGGCTAGTATTGTTTATACCTTGTGAGTCTGTGTTTGTGTGTCATCACGGCAAAATGTGGTCCTAAAGGCACCTATTGTAGTGGAGAATACCACAGAAGTAGCTTTGAATACTTTGCCAGGTGTTGATATGTCTGTGTCTGGGGACTGATAATGTCATTGTGATGGTGTCACAACTCTGCAAGATGCAGTCACAGAACTTAACAGGTGTGTAGCTGATACCAAAATTGGAGTTTGAACATAGGTGTGGTCCGAATAGGGGCGCAGGAAGTATGGGGGTACTTAACACCCCTGGCCTACTTTTGTTTTAAGTCACAGATAGCTGTTATCCCAAGGTGCAAATCGTGTGTTTTAATTTTGATTTGCAGCAGGTGGACGTGCTAGCTCAGTGGGCAGTCACTAGCCTCTGAATTTTACACATTCAGAAAGGGGTGGTGTCAAGGGACATGAAGGAGACTGACTGACCATCGTTCAGTCGCACAGACAGACATTGAGCTGATTTTAGAGTTAACCAGCCAGCAGAAGCTGCTGTCAGACTTTTGTTTCTCTCTCTGATGGAAAGACGGGCAGTCTGGTGGAGTTTTGGCAGTCACTAGAAGCACATTTATAGTCCTTAAACAGAGTCACTGACTACATTTACATACAAACTAATATTGCACTATTATTCCAAGTATGACAGTATTCAAAATCTGACAGATGTCACTTAAACAGCATATTCCATTTGGATGTTTTGAATTAGGCTGTATTTGAAATGTAGCATTTCTGGATTAATGTGTGAGATATGGTGAATTATTCAGGTTTTAGGAGCGTTCTTCGTACATGTATACAGCACATTCAGAATGTGCATCTCAATTGGGTTTTAACCACAGTTTGCAACATACAGCCTCTTGTCCGCTTACAGTCAGCTGTATGTTGTACATGGGTGCATTGTACACGCACCAACAATTTGCAAGACTGTAGGGTAGAGATGCATGCCCAAAAGGAAAGCCCACATTTCTGGTCAGAAAGACAAACACACCTACTGAAACATTATGAAAGGATGTCAAAGTTTTTGGATATGCGCAAATACATAATGCCAATCTTTTCAAGAAGGTGGTTGGAGGAATGAAAGTGGACGGCTGTGTTCTTACAATCCAGCAAGTCCACCACTGATGGAAGACTTTGAAAAAATTACAGAAGCAGTTCCAGCTGTTCAACTTTTCCATAATTTGACGTGATAAACGACATGTAAAGCCCAGTTCAGACCAAATATTCACCATGAGAAGAGTTGAAATAGGCAGCTACTTGCAATGTGCTGTTCTGCAACGTTCTAAAAACCTGCTGGTTCACACCAGTGCAACTAGATGAGATGGTGTATCATGTCTATGCAACAATTTTCTGTACTTCTGTTCTGATTTCCAGCTTTACAGGCTTATTTTGTGGCTGAATATAATTTGGAGCTTCTTAAAATATGAATAAGGATAGTGATAGTGAGATACTGGCTACAGCTGCTTTTGCAGTGATGAAATGGTGGAAACATAAACAAAATGAGCATCAGATGGACAGTATTCATAATAAATACAGCACAGTAATATAATATAATAGAATAGGAAGAACTTTATTTATCCCTGAAGGGAAATTCAGCTGTCCAGCAGCTCATAAAAGACAAGAAACAACCACACTTTCCCCAGTCAACAAAATATTCAGCGCCAATTAATCAGTCGACAAGAATACAGCAAGCAGCAGCAGTGACCCACTGTCCAACTAGGGCTGGGCGGTATACCGGTTTGTACCGAAAACCGGTATTTATTTTCGTTATGATATGAATTTTTCATATACCGCAATACCGGTGAATAGCCCAAACAACGTCCGGAACATGCGCGGCGGGAAAGTGTTTCAGCGGGGACCCATTTCACCACTGCACACCACAGGCACGCTTGAGCGGGTGAGAGTGAGAGCATATAAAACTTTAGAGGCGAGAATGGCTGCCGGAGAGAGTCCTGAAAGCAAAGCAACTGTACACGGTGACCCAGAAGAACTCATACCAAAAGAGCAGTGTTTCCCCTATATACAACTAGAGTTTCGCCCCGATGCACACACACCCACACCCACACGCACGCACACACACACACACACACACACACATACACACACAGACAAAGCGCACACACAGACAAAGCGCACACACACAGGTAAGCACACTAGAGCACGGTTCGGACCGCATTTTCCTGACCGAAGATGACCCGTCCCGAGTCCGAGACAGTTATGGCTGGGCTCCACCAGGCACGTCAGCGGCGTGACACGTCTGCAGCGCGAGTCCTGTAGCAGCTCGCCCCCTTGGTTAATTAATTACAGTGGCTCCACTGGCAACAGGAGCGGCGTGACAACCCCCGTCTGTCGCGCGACAACTCTTTATTTTACGCGGCTCTTCTACTTTTGTCACGCTATGCTCCCCTACGCGACCCTCCAGCAGATAAAAACTACATGAAATAGTGTGCTAAACGAGCACAATGTGTTTTTAAATGAATAAACCATTATCAGAGGTGATATGTGATGATTTTTTTTCATGCATTTACCCATGTTTATCGGTGACATTGTGTAAATGTCCGTGGCGGACATTTGAAAGCGAGTAGATGACAAACAGTACAGTAAACTTGTAGATAACTCACATATATGTAATAACTTAGGTGGAAAATGCTTTAACATTTCATGCAGCCTACATGCAGCCTCTCGGCTCGGCAAACGGTAAACAACCCCGCTGGCTTCTCTACGTGTCGCTTCCGTACGCAGTCAGTGGAGCCCAAATGAATGGAGCGGAGCATGTGTTGTGTTCAGGCGTTGTCAGGTAAATAACAAATTCCTGCACTTGAATAGGCCATAGCACAACACAGCAGCATGTCAAGTTGGCCGAGCTTGAGCAAAATACCGTGAAATACCATGAAACTGATATGATTTTTTCTTAAAACCGTGATATGAAAATTTTGTCATACCGCCCAGCCCTACATCCAACACCGGCACACTGTGAGGACGAAAACTGAGGGTAAAGGCTCATTTATGCTCAATGTTAAATAAGGATCCGGATATGGACGGAGCCTTCTGTCCGTGCTCCGTGTTCATTTCGTCCGTATTTCTGCATGTTTCCATAAAGCTTACGGATACGGGCCAAACGGAGCAGTGCCACCGGGAACTGTGGGGGCAGTGTTGCTGTCACTACCCGATACGTAGCTCTAGTGAGAAACGAAGAAGAAATAACTATTCAATTTCTTTCATCGGCAGTACTAGAGAAAAGAATTCTCCGTCCTCCAGTCGCGACATATTTAACAGCCTCACCGACCACCGCCTCCTACAACGCTGCCTCTGTTTTTGTCTTTTATGCAAGAGGTACATCATCAATATCACCTCCACAGTCGCCATGTTTGTTTTTGAGTTTGTTGTTGTCATAAACTTTTGACGCTGGGCTGCCTCCTGGTGGATATATTGGTTTACATCCATGCCAACGTAAAGGGCGCATGGAAGTATGTGGGCAGTGACGGTAACATCGTTTGAAATGGACGTATACATTTTCGTACGTAAAGGGAGCATAAATGAGCCTTAAGTGAACACACTGCCTGTTGCCATCTTGACTTGACCAGCAGCCTTCACTAGAAGCCGACTGGCTGTTGAAACATTAGACGTGCCTTATGTTCTAAAACCAGCCGCCTGTGATTTGACTAGCGGAGTTGCAGGTGACACCATCAGTCGGCTTGAGTTGAACTCAGACCGGCAAGTTCACACTGCTGCAACTTTTCTCTGCAACGCTCTAAAATGGTTTCGGCTCATCGCGAATCTTTGGTCTGAACTGGGCTTTAGGGCACGTAGATCAGAGAATGCACAGCATGGCAAGTAAAGAGGAATATTAATTTTCATTAGCCATGTAAATAGCATAATAGGAAAATTGTCTTTTTTCTGAATAAGGGCAAAAAAACAGAATATGTGGCCATGTAAACACAGTCACTGTGTGGGTACCTGTGTTGTAGCAGGTTTAGTAGCTCTGATATAAGAGGCTCTCCAGTGTGTGTGTGTGTGTGTGTCTGTGGGGGAGTGTCAGTGCAGAGTCAAAGCTGTGCTGTTTATCATACTTAAAATTACTGTTTGTCAGCCCTTAATATCTTGTTAAGCTCTGAAATAATGCACAATTATGGGCAGGCCTACGTGCAAAAAAACTTTGTGCAGAGTTTCACTCTGAGTTTTTGGGTGTCCACATTTCACCTGTCCACTTGTTTCTGAGGATCTTTGAAACTGTTATGGCCGCACCAACTGCATGGCACTGTGGAGGAACAGAGTAGGAAATGAAATTGCTCTTTCTGACTCAAAAGTACAAAAGCAAAAAGGCAGCGGGTGGTGAAAATTGCTCAGAATGATTACCGGCTCCCAGCTCCCCACTATCACGGACATCAAATGCAAGTGATACTTAAGGAGAGTGTACTCCATCGCACATTCACTGCTTCTAACAATATAACTGCATGAACTGTGTGTCATTTGTATCTGTACCCATTGTGTGCATTGATTCAGCCTAATCTAACTTTGTGTATCTGCTGATAAGTACAAGATGTAGCCTTGAACAGTTTTTTTTATTTTATTTTTATTCATATTAAAGCAATTAGGAAAAGGGGGTATCAGTTCCAGGCTTTTAAAACACTTATAATTTCCTCCAGCAAAATCCACCCCACTCTTAGACAAATATTGTTTTCCATAATACCTTTTGAAGTAGTTACTTAGAGTAGTGTAAATGAACTGAACTGCCCACATTTTGAAAAGAGTGCATGTGTTGGGTCAGGGAAAGAGTTTAGCTGGTTGTTAGAATGATGTGCCTCTGATAACCGTACTTTATCAGTGGGGGGCTATAAATATAAATGTTTTTTTTTCAAAAGATTGCCCAAAGCTAGTGGGATAAATGACTATAAGAGAAAATTCACATGAAGATTTAAAAGAAGTGTTTGATATTTTTATACAACTGGAGATAAAGCTTTTCATCCTTTATCACTAATCCATTTTCTGCATGTGTCTACTGAAGGACACCCTACTGTTTCTCATTTATTTATAAAGGCTGTTTCCCTGTAGATCTGGCACAGAGATAAGCCCTCTCCTTTTTTCGTATGTCCTGGTTACGTATGCAAACCTTACTGGCTCACGTCTTTGGCTGAACAATCCGTTTCTTGTCACTTGAGACTTTGTGCACTCATTGTCTTCCTTATTATTTGAAACTAAAGACATCTAACAAAGGAGAGGTGCTAAAGCATTGTATGGTGTACTGTGTATGAAACAACATGAAGGATTGTTCAGTGGCTGTGTGTTTACTTGTACGGGGGAGGCAGGTGTTTTTCTTTTTATTTTATGTTTGAATTTAGTTCAGCTTTTATTTCCTATGCTTGTTTTTATCCAAATGAATGAAACGTGAAGTGCAGCGTGATTGAAGGGAACATGTGCAGACACACAGACAGCTGAATAATGTGCAAGCAAATATTATTGCCTATAGACAAAGCAGCAAAATGCTGCAGATGTTTTTCTTTCAGCACAGTTCAGTTCTCATCAAATTAGCACCCTGAGTTTCCAACCACCTCATCTAAAGAAACCCGGTCTAATTGTAAGGTTGCTCCTCCAGTTTCACTTGTTTACCAAAGGATTGCTCTCTATTGTTATTCAGCCGCCAGGGCACTGATTTCCTCCAGCATGTTTCCATTGGTTTTGGCTCATTTCTGAATTTTACATCATTTTATTTCATTTAGCTGTGGTGATTCTAGTAATGACAAAGCCCGAGTATTTGGGGTAGTTAGAGGGTGCTAAAGGCAGTATTAACAACTCAATGGCAATCACAATGAAACCTCCTTGTAGACAGGTAAAACAGGTCAACCATCCAATAGGAGGGCTTTATGGTAATGAGGAAGGAGTTAGGGGGGGGGGTGCCTGTAAAGCAGGAGCACCAGACAGCACACTGCTGCTTGATCCTTGGTATTCCATTGTCAGACGTTTGGAGGTGGTTTCTGCATTCAGGTAATATCTATAGAAACTTCCTCAAGAGCTTGTTTCTTTCATTTCTCCTTCGACTTGTGTGCACAGGTCTTACTAGTTGAGAAAATCAGTTTCATATGCCACTAGGTGTTAAACATTTAAAGACTGTGCTGTCCGTTTGTTGTAATCGAAGTCATGCTGACTACCTGCTGTTAATGGTTTTGTTTCAAACAGGACGACTATGTTGAGAAAAAGCTGCAGTCGTCTGAGGTCAGCATTCTCCCTCAGCTGCCCGCCCTGGTTGTCTGTCTTCTTGTTATGCAGCGCAGGTCTCTTGAGCACAGGTAAGAATACAGACTCACAAGCACATTAAGACAAGCGCACACATACAGATGCAGTGACTGCGCCCTGTGTTATCCACTACACTGGATTTCATAGCGTTTAATGAAACTTCCTTTTAGAGAGGCTCGTTGAGACTTTCATGTCTTGTCTGTGTTGCATGCTGCTGAGCTGTGGGCCGCAGTGGTGTAAGCTTCCCCAGGTGTTACCATGGCGCTCACTGTCTGTCCAATCAGGCTTTGAGATCATGCCTCCAGATGACTGTTGACTCCCTAATGTTCCAGGGATTTGAGCTCATGTTTTTTTCTTCAGGGTGGGGCTCTTCATAGGCTGAGCTGCAGATCTCAAATACAAATCCATTTTAAAAAAAAAATGTATATGCTTCTTCATGTAGGAATGATAAAATGGGGGAGAGTCTTGTTAAATGTAATGCATTACAGTTGTAACAGGCATGTTTTCTCTTGCTATGTAAATGTCATCATTGTGTCAGCTTGTGACCAGTGCAGTAGCAAACGTCCCCTGGGTTATATCAACAAGATTTGCCTACTCTGCAGGAAATGGCAGCTGGAAAACCAGTTTGGCACAAACAAAGTAATTATTAAGAACCAGGGGTATTTTTCAGTTATTAAGTTGTGTTTGTATGTTGTGGAGCTAAAATCCACACAGCTGTCTACATGTGTCAGCGAAGTTTACACTTGTCATGCATGTGAGTTGTGGCCTGGATGGAACAACAAAGTACAGGTGTGACAAGCAGCTCATTGTAACGTGTTCAGATTAGGGTTGAATAGTATTCTCACAACGTCCACATCTAAATTGCCTAACTGTGTAGGTGAAATCAATGTTTTTGCCAGTGAGCAAGGATATGAATGTGCAAGCTGCAGCATCTGTGAAGTTTTAATAATATCATTGTGTGTTACACATTGTCAGATCACATGCTAGGTGTGAAAAAAACAAAACAAAGTTAAAACAGTTGCTTGACTGAAATATTGTTGATTTGGCATGAAAACAATGTTTTTTGCTGTTTTTTAGCCATTTTACAAAGGGAACTCACACTATTAAAATTGAAGTCTGGGTAAAGCAAGAATAAAGATGTGTAATGAGTTTGTCACACCACATAAAAATATGTTACTAAGCACCCAGCCAAATTTGAATGATTAAAAAAAGTTGCCAAGAACATAAAATTGCTTTTCAAAATCATAAAAGAACAGGCAGTATTGTCTGCTCTGAGACACTGGGGGTGTGTCCGCTGAGTGTACTGAAGCCACACCCACTCATGGGAAAGCTGCAGCCTCTTTTAATTGTAGCACTACAATGGATGCTCCATATAAGAGGGTTTTTGGGCTTGTACAGCCATGCATGTCTAAGCCATCAGAGCCAGAATAAAATTTAGAGTCAGAGGACACTGACCTGCCTAAAAATTTAACCTCATTCTTAGGGCTGGGTTAAAATAACCGATTCATCCGATTAAATCACTCTTCACTGGAATGACCCGATAGCGATTCATAAAAGCCGAGATCGATCTTTTAATATACGCTTTAACTCCGTGAATCTCGCCGGTAGTAAACGAACTGCAGCGCTAAGTCATGAACGACTGTAGTATTGAGAAGCTCTAACGTTACCGGCTCTTTTATGTGTAACATTTTTACATTTGGGTGTAATTTATTGTCATGCTGCAGCGTCTCCTCCTGCTGTCTGTGCGTTCTGGCTGCTGCGCCACTTTTAAGTACACACACAAACACAGAGTAATAATGCTGTAGTGGAGACACAGAGGTAAAGATAACTTGAGCTGACAACTACGCTTGTTACTGTGAGTGCAATAAAACCTCCTTGAGGAAAAAGCCAATACTTTATCAATACACCTGATCAGCAACATGTAAACATGTGGAAAAGCAATAGCTCCAGTCTGCTTTGTCCGCAGTAGGTCATCCACCGCCGCCAATATAGTTATAAACAAGCACAGAGCACTTTCCAGCTAATAGCAAATTGTTACTAACAAGCTAAAACAACTGTTTAACTCAGTTTGTCTCGTATCTTAAAACTTACCGGTGGCCTGTTGTGAAATTTATTCTTTTTAAAAAATAATTCCTTGTAAATGTTACACTGTATGTTCTCTGAGAATCTCTCTCACATACTAGCATGCTGAGATTGTAACTGAAAAATATCCAGTTGAATCGATATCAGGTCGAATTTAACTGTAAATCAAATCAAAGTGGGACCCCTTGAATTGAAATTGAATCGATTCAGGAAATCAGTGGTGATACCCAGCCCTACTAGTGCTTCTCAGTCTGAAACGGAATGGAAATTTTTATTTATTCTTTCAATCAACAGCAACACTTAACGGCTCTAGTTCTTATAAGGGTTTGGCTTATGCTAAGGGTAGCTCCATTACATCATCAAGCAGGCTTTTAGCCCTGCCCAAAAAATTCTGGACACAGAAAAGGATGAAAAACAGTTTAACTGTTTAACTCCATGTTTTCTAACACGTATAATTTGGTTAGATGTAAAACTCAGATTTTACTTTACCCCGACTTTAACGCCTCATTTACACCGCAAGCACTGCATTTGCAAAGCAGTGGCGAAGCGGTCCACAAGTGTAGTGGCAGCACACGTGTATTCCCACCAAAACCAAACAGACGCGTCGTGTAGCAGCCGCTGCTGTCCTGTCAAAATACAAACCACACCTGAACAGTTTGTGGCGGTAGTGCACCGTGTTTGCTTATCTCCAATAAACCCCAAAGAAGAAGAAGTGAGTTTGGACCCAAAGCCCAGGTTGGACAGGTTCGCGTGTTAGTGATTATTCCAGCGCTTGGAGAATTAATATTTAGCACTACAAATGGGTAAGTAGTCTTTGTCTGATTTGTATTGCTATCCTTAGCACAAAAAGCCCATTTGTCTCTGTGTCTACAGTGGCCGAGAGAGGTCACAACACACGTAAACACAAGTTTTTTTTTGTTGAATACAGCGACCATTCGCGTGTGTCTAGCGCAAAAAATCGGCGTCTCTTCTATTTTCGAGCGTGAGCAGCTCGTAGAATGGATGCAGTGTGAATGCTCTAACCTGTTAACATGCTCGCCGAAATGAAAACGCGACTAAACAGCGACCATTCGCGAGCGCTACGTGAACGCATCACTTGCGGTGTAAATGAGGCCTAAGATTCACTCGTGCTTTATGTGTAATTGCTTTATTGACTATACTTCATCCGGGCCACATACTTTTGAAAGGCCACTTTGAGTTCAGTTTAAGTTCTCTTATTGTGTACACACTTATATTTTCTTTTAAGAATACAAAAGAAAACCTCACTGGAAATGATCTCAAGTCTTTTAATGTATTTCTATGTTCCAAACTGAAACAGGCAAATAGGGTTTTCATTGTACTGAGCTGCTTCAGGATATTTGCAAACTGCAGTGCTAGCTTCTCTTGTTGAGCTTTAATACGGTGAAGGACCTTGTGGAAGAACTGATGAAAATTGTTTTTAAGGTTTGTTCTGCCAAGAGTTTTGTATTGTACATACTTGACCTGATAGTAATCTATTGTCACTAAAAATGCAGTTTGTCCTAAATAGCTCTTAAAGTAATTCCAGTAAGTATTTTTTTTTTTATATTTCTGTGTGCCATTTGGCTACAAGTTCGGTGGTTGCATTTTTGTTGATTCTTAGCCAACCTTCCTCTGAGAAAAGAATCTGAATCAATACTAAATGTCTTTATAAAACTGTGTGCATAAAAGCCATAAACTCGATGTGTAAAAAGGGTTGCAGAATAAGAACGCGTAGTATGTGTCCTTGACGGTAACACTAATTGATTTAGAAACAGCTAAAATGTGTCTCTTGTGTGAACTTCTTTTAAGAATTGAAATGTGCGCGAGGGATGCAGCTGACATCTACGGGGCCGCAGACCATTCAAAAGGCTGAGGGAGAGAGCGTGATTTTGGGCTGCACTTACACACCGAGCCCTCTTGACACCGGAGACCTTGACATTGAATGGTCTGTGGTCAGTCCAGACAGCACGCAGAAGGATCAGATGGTAAGAGGCAGAGTGAGAACTTTGCAGATTTACAACAAATTTATCTCAGGTCTGATATATGAGGGTACATATCAGATTTCACTTGTAATTTATCCAAAGGCACTCTTTTGTGCGCGTGTTTTTCCAAGGATGGAAAAACACGTTCTGGTAATGTGTTACGCTCCGGGTCTATGATTTCTGAATAATTTCCAAACAATTTCCAAGAACATGTTATTTGGTAAAAATTGTAGGGGAAATAGGTCCTAGAAAATGAGAGGTCCATGTATTCACTCATTCGTTCTTTCCTGTATCTTGGTATCCTCAGCTGACATGCACTCACTGAAAAGGCTGTGTAGGTTCTGCAAGCAATTTGAACTGGTTAATTACAAGTGTGCTAATTAAATGCTGCTTCCATCTTTTCTTAAAACTAGTACTAAATCACAAGTTCTTTCCAGGAAATGAAAATTATGGACCAGTAAATGTAAAGAGTTGTTTAGTATATTTGAGCTACTGAGAATACAGAACACAACTGAGTGAACACAAAGGTTAAAACCCACTACACAACCTTAGTGTCATGACACGTGCCGTCATTTCAGGAACATCTTTAAAACATGTATTCAGATTTTCCACCTCATTTCAAATTCCTTTCCTCCTCATGTGATATGCTTGTGCCTTTAAATGTTAAAATCAAAATGCATACCGTGAGTCTGGAGTGTGGATGAACTCGTACCACCTTTTTAATTTCACAGGAATTAGTCGTTTATCCAATTTGCCTTTTAAATTAAATGAGTCATTAGTGTTGGAGACTTGAGAGGATGTTTTTCCCGCTCGTCTCTGGCCTTAGGCAGCAGACATTTATACAATGATTGACCAGGTCCAGCATGTGCTGCTTTAGACAAGTGACCGCTGTGGATTATTGGTTCTTGTGCAAATTAAATGCTTTCTTCAGTCAAAGACATAAACATTATAGCTCATACTAGCTCTTTATCTGAAAGGGGTCTTAAGATTTATCCACTGCAAACTTAAAGCTGTCCTAATTGATCTTTTTGACCACTAGGGGATGGTAGGGGTGCATGGAAATATTGATACTCTTTAGTATTGCAATATTATGTGTTGTGATACTGGATTGACTCACAAAAACACTGATTGATTTGAAATCAATATTGTACATGCAAAGATTCATGGCAGTGGTTCATTTTGTGCCTCCGACTGCCAGATAGCAGTTTTGTAATCTGTCTTCAGCCAGTTGTCCCTTCCACTCCGACCTATCATCATATCGCTTGTGTAGGCACAAAGAACAGGGGTCTATGTTATAAGTTATAAAGAGTGTTATAAAGGGTGCACTGCTAGCTCCTAAAATTAAATCACAATATATATCGCCTTCATTACAGTGTTGCAGTGTATCACAATATTTTGAATTGTAACACTGGCATTGTGATACATACTGTATCACAAGATTCTCGCCAATACAATGACACTTGCCAGATGTCCACTGGATCCGTCGCGTGTGCGATTCGGCTGCAGCGCGGACTCGCTCCGTCCTGTGCCGGGCGTCAATGTCCACTGGAAGCGGTGCGCACGCAAGTGGCTGGAATTGGCGGATCGCAAGATCATAATGTCACACAATCTTCTGCGGAAACCCTGGAGGTATAAAGACATCAACAAACAAAGAAAAGATTTCTTGATTTTGTGATTTTTCTCTTGATTTTGTGCCAGGTTTTTTTACCCTCTTCGTGTTTGACTTCAGGTCTGGGGCCACCCACTTTGATGTCAAGGTGTTTGACGTAGCCATGTGAAATATGGTCTGGAGTTTTCATGGGTGTTTTATTTTGAAAATTGACCAGATACTCTCTTCTTTTCTGTGCATGACTTCCCGTTTGACCTATTTGGTCATGCAAACTATTGCGCCGTTGCGCGACATTTATCAAAAATAGACCTGGCACGTATTTTTAGTGGAGTAGAGCCACGGCGCTTCTGGTGGAGCAGGTTACATTGACTTGAATGGCCACGATTAGCTCCGGCACCTTGGCCGGATCGTGCACACGACGGATCCAGTGGACATCTGGCAAGATGGCCTTCAAGCTGCAAACCGCTGCAGACTACTGTTTAAGACTAACACATGACACAGGTTGGTTTTAGCAAGACATTGGTGACGTAGTTTTTTTTTTTTAATTTTTTTATTAATCACAACCTTTTTTTTTTTTTTTTTTTTTGCCAACACATAACCACACATCAACCAAAGTGATGTTGAAATGACATTTTTAACATATCTATTGTGTAATAATTTACACAAATAATGTTACATATCCGTGATTTGTAGAGATGTACGATGCAAACATTTATTCTGCTAATGCTTGCTATTGCTGGAAACCAGGTCACTGAGAGTGCAGAGACTGAACAGTACAGTAAATGTAAAGCATGACGATGAGCTACAAGAGGCTAAATACTTCTGTAGAGCCACAGGGTTGGTGGTAATTCTCAGCTGGTGTTTTCCCATATAGGTTTGTGTATTTGCCTTTTTTATTCAATATTTATGGGAAAAAATGTAGGATGCATGTTTAATTGGTTAACACCAATTAAACATGCCATTCAGAGTCATTTGTTGTCTCTCTGTTGAATCTTTCTAAATATTTTGTTTCCCATCAGCTCATGTCCTACAGCAGCGGCACTAGATACGTCCATGGTAACCCTGCTCTTGCAAAGGAACTCAGCTTTGCTGCTCCTGACCCCTCAATGGGTGACGCTTCGATCTCAATCTCAGTGTTGTCACCTGCTCATAGTGCTACCTACCAGTGTAAAGTGAAGAAATCACCTGGAGTGGACATGCGCAAGGTTTCACTTGTGGTACTGGGTAAGACTGGGAATTGGGTTGCAGTCTGGGGTCAGTGTGTGTGTGTGTGTGTGTGTCACCTGGCTACATTATGTACATCTGTCACCTTTGACAACTACAGTGTTTTGTTTTAAAGAGGAGGCAGCTGCTCACATGTACTTCAAACATTTTATCTAGTCTATTACACTGAAGGTTACATTTCCTTGTCATATGCCAGTATCTATCACACTTGCAATTTACCACAAAGCTAATTTCAAGGTACCTGCTATCAGGCTTGCCTTTATCTTTTAAGACTACTACTACATTACCGTATGATTTATATCCATTAGTGGTTTTCAAGGTCACAGGGGTGTCAGTGAGAGCGAGGATAACGACCCTCTCAGTGTCTGTTGTTATGAAAATGCTTTTACCAGTCAGGGTTGCTCTATAAAAGAAAGGTCTTTATTTGATGAGATGTCGCTCCCTAAATTCAGGTCAAATTTCACATTTTTCTCTAGTGCCTAATAATAAAATGTCCCTGGTATGTGAGAACATTGATTTTGCTCCCTCGAGCAACACATTTACAAAAGCTGCAACTTTTTTTTAATAGTCAGTAGAGACAGCTGTGATCACATGTTTGACCATTGTGATAAAAATGAATGAGCAGAAGGGAGATGGCTCTGCAAAGATCTCTGCTTCTCTGAAACTCATTGATACAGATTGAGCAATTGACGAGAAACTGAGAAAAGCTGAAAATAATTTGAAAGGACACCTCACTTATAGCCATTTGTCAGTGTATTCGGTCCTAAAATTTGTCAGAGGGGCGAAGCAATTTACTTGATTCCAGTCCAACTCATCTTCTTTGAAGAGTGCGAGCAGGAGCTGGGGTGGAGGAGGAGGCCACCCCATTGGCAGATTTATTTATCAAGATTCCACAAATGAGCACTGCATTAAATAACCTCGTACAGGGATGTTTCGTGATTGAGCAAATAATTGGCTCAGTTTAAAAAAAAAAAAAAAAAACTCTTTCAGGAGGCATATGAAATCTGAATAAAAAGGTTGGGATACAGGGTCCATCAAAATGGAGAGCTTTAATGAAGTGTTTTTGATCTCATACATGCACTTATTTTTAAAAGCATCTAATTTTTTTCAAGTGACCATAACAGATTGATAGAGCAATCATTTCGTCTTATTTCTTAGTACAACTTGCTAAAGATGCAGCACTGTGCTGAGACCTTGAAAGTTTTGTTCATTTTTGCAATTCAGAAGACTTTTTTACCACCAGACTTCAAACGTTGTTTTTTCTTACAGTTCATCGAGCATGGGCATGGATGTTAAATAGTGGCGAGAATTTCAAGTTATGGCTAAACTGTTTTGTTTTTACAGCCAGAGTCTAAATGTGAGAGGATATGAAAGGAAGACATTAACACAATGGCCAGAAGCATCATTTTTCTCTACAGCAGTTTTAACATTTCCCATTAAATCTGATATATGCAAACTTTGTTATGCTGTGGGAGGAAATTATGTGGACACAGTTGCTTCTTTATTTATTGTGTTTAATACTATGAAATTCTTGATAATGTAATACAGATTTTTTGCTTAAAAATGACCTGTATAGCCAAATCACCTCCAGAAAAAGCATCTTCAAACCAGTGCTCTTACATCTGGCTCAACCATCATCTACAAGCAACATTCAAATGTCCAAGCGTTTAAGAGTTTGGAGCTTTTTTAACTAATGTTTAATGAAGAAACATATTTTTTGATCAGTGGGTGCATTTATTACACAAAATCTGTGGTGCAGCTTTAACTGACTTTGTTGTATCTGACCTAAAGTACTGTATTTCTTAGGACTGTGTACTCTCACACTCGACTTATATCAGAGCTGTATCAGATAAAATCTCCTACTCCTCGATGAAAACTAGCAGATTGTTGAGTGAATACCTGCAGCAGAGCCTCACATATCGATACACAGCCTGAGGCTGTCCTCATACTAACAGCAACGCAGACTGTCCTGAGAGCCAACAGTCATTTTATAGATCGGGCTCTTTTTATTATCCTGAGCAAGATAAATGGTTCAGAGACTGCGTCAATAGATATATGATAGAATATATATTTATAATGTGTACTGAATAGGACTGGATATTTGTATTCAGTGCCTTTGAGGAAGTATGGGAACTTCTCCAGTCAAACGATACCAGCATTCAATCCTTTCTGTATCCAGATCCAGATCAAGAAAAGACTATTCATATGGTTTTGCTTGCAGCCAATCACTGCAAGAAAATTTTGATTTAATGCAATGTGTGATTGCTACCACAGCAGCTAAAACCCACACAGTCTGGTATGACGAAGTCAAGTGTGGTATATTTACAGACATGGCAGTTAAGCATGCTGAGATGCCACCAAAGTGTTCAAATGATGGCTGCACTACGTGTCTGTGGCATCTGGTTGCATTTTACACCACTGAAAGCTTTGATTCAAATGATGGTTGTTGAATTAAGTAGTAAGAAAAGGTGTCAAATGAAGTACTCTTGGTATCGGTGTCACTACTAGGGTATTGGTACTGGTACTGGTATTTGGACACTGGTAGCTTTTTAAACAATACCCATTCTCAGTAATGAAGACATGTTTATGTTTTTGTAACATTTAATAGGATATTTGAGTAATAAATGTATCACCTTGTTGGTATCACCCATTTAAATAGTGTGAATCTGTTATCAAAGCCAGAATCAAAAAGGTTTCTGCAATTACTTCCTAAAGGGAAAAAGCTGCACTGTTTTTCAAGAAAAAAAGGAATGAAAATGGCAGCGCGAAATTATCCATTTGTTGTATGATTTCAGCGAAGCCGTCTGTGCCTAAGTGCTGGGTGGAGGGAGGGGAGCTGGTCGGCGAGGCTCTGTCTCTCCACTGCAAGTCTGCAAAAGGCTCCACTCCCTTAAAATACACGTGGAGGAGAGAAAGTGCAGGCCCCATCCCTGCTGCAGCCACGCAGAGTAAGTGTGACCTCTGCTGATGTCATGATGCTACTACAGATCAAAGAGTGTGCGTGTATGTGTGTGTTGAAGAATGTGTGGGCAAAGGTGAGTGAAGTCCCTTTTCTTGTTGAATGTGCAGTGCGAACTTATTATTTCAGTCATTTTCAAATTAAAGAAATCAGAGAACTCATCAGTGTTTATCGAGATTTTTACAAACATATGAAAATAATAGTCCAGGTGAAAATATGATGAAGAAATAACGATTTGCAGCACAACACTCTGCTTACTTAGAGGGACTGTGGTGCATAATCAGCAGATCATTTGCATGTTCTTCCCATTTTCTTTGCGCTCTGTCACAACACAAAACATTTCCTGAAAAGCCTTGTTTTCTGTAAACTGCATTGATCAATGTCTTTTGCCGCCAGAGGCACAATAATTTTTAGCAGCATGAGACAGAATGAGTAAAAATCTTTGTGTTTTTAAGTGATTATTTGTAAAAAACACAAAACCCAGGAACCTCTTATACATGTGCATCACTTTAAGTAAACAAACCTAGAAACCGTCTGATGTATTGTCATTTTATCCCCTTATATATACAGCACATTTTAGTATATATGCTAATCTGTGTTTGGGTGTGTGTGTTCTTTCAGACAGCGTGACTGGCGAGCTAAAAATCAGCAACCACTCTCAGAGCTTTGCAGGATTTTATCTTTGTGAGGTGAACAATGCTGTTGGAGCCGAACACTGCAGGATCAACCTGAAAGCGAACAAACGTAAGGGAACACACCCCCACACAGACTGTTCCTGTTCACATACATCACACATGATGCACACATGCACTCATGACAGACCTCCATTTCATCCTCTTAAGTCTTCTCTCTCTGTTCTTGTGCCACCATGTCCCCACTGCTCCACATCTCAAACACAGGGTTTAAACCACTGCGCTCTGTAACATCAGTGCTGTCTAATGATGACAGGATAAGGTCACAGTCAATGGCAAAAATTGCTTCATTCACAGAGGACAAAATGTTTTTTGCCATCCGCTCTTCATCACTGGCTTCCTACTGCTGAGTCAAACATGAGTAATGCTGAAATGACTCCACTGCCTTGTATGTAGACAGTCCCTATTAGCTTGAAAAGAAAAAAATGACACAAGTTAAAGGCAGTAATAGAAAAAAGTGGATTTACTAAAAGCACCTAATAAGGTTAGTTTAGTTGGCACTGTGGTAAGGTAAAAGGAAATCCAAACATTCCCTTAAGAGGGCAGTCCATGTGCAGTAATACCTCTGAACAGCTCGGAACAAGACAGAGCCAGAGAAATACCTGAACTGTCTCACAGGGAATGAATCTGGTGACTGTAAGTGCACCAGGAGGGAGTACAGTCAGTGATTCACTGTATCTTTATGGAATAAATCATCCCGGGGTTTAGACTCAAACAAGCCCTCTGCATTCTGTGGATCCATAAAATTAATTTGTCTTTGTGGGCCTCATGATCTGTGGAGCAGACCCTAATATTACATCTTGCTGAGTCCATAACTTCAAGTCTTAGTGCTCAGATTTTTGGCTTCAGGCAGCAAATCACTCATGTTCATTTCAAGTGCAGGGTGCTGTGCTAGACCAAGGGTTTCAACCCTTAGGCTCGGGACCACCCACTAAAAGGTTTGCAAGATGATTTACAAGATATTATAGAATTATGTCATGGTTGCTACACAACTTTACTTTTATGACTTCTCTCTAATGTATATTTTTTGTGAAATAGTGAATAGTTTTCCCTCTTCAGACATTTGAATAAAACATCAAATGAAACAGTCTGAGAGAGGAGGGGCCAGACTAAGAGCAATTGAGTTATAGAGTTATAGAGCCCAGTCAGGCACAGCCTCAAAGGTCAACACAGAGCCGGCACCCTGTGGGCCCACCACCCACAGAGATGGGCATAGGGGTCGAGTGCATTGTGAGCAGGGCGGAATCCAGGCGTGCTGACCCCTGACATCGCAGACTGGCTTAAGGGATATGGAAAGTCACCTCTTTGGAGGGTAAAGAACTGGAGCTGGTGTGGGAGATGAAGTGTTACCAACTAGATATAGTTGGCTCACCTCTATGCATAGTACTGGGTCTGAAACCAAATTCCTGTTTTCCGGAGTTGCCCAGGGTGAGAGGCTTTAGATGGGGGTGGGGATGCTCATGATCCCCTGCTGAGCGCCACTGTGTTGGAGTTCTCCCCAGAGAACAAGAGGGTTGCTTCAATGTGACTGCGAGTTGCTGAGAGGAGGTCTCTTACTGTTGTTTATGTGTATGCACCAAGTAGCAGCGGAGAATCCAGCCTATTTGGAGTCTCTGGAGGGGGGGAGTCCCAGAAAGGGTACCGACCGAGCAGTGACTCTATAGTTCTAGTTCTAGATCGAGACTTCAATGCTCATGTGGGCAATGATGGAGGGTGATTGTGAGGAATGGCCTACCTGATCTAAACCTAAGTTGTGTTATGTTATTGGACTTCAGTGATACTCATGGTTTGGCCATATCGAATACCATGTTTTGGTGGTTTGAGTGTGCTTGATACCAGAACACCTTAGACCAAAGATCAGTGAACGACTTTGTGGTAGTATCACCAGATCTGCGACCGTATGTCTTGGACTCCAGGGTGAAGAGGGGAGCACAGCTGTTAACTGATCACCATGTGGTACATCCAGAGGGAGGTAGGGGACATGGAATGTGAGTGAGCCATAATCAGAGCCTTCCTTGTGGAGGTGGCTGCTAAAAGTTGCGGTCAGTGCCTGTCATAGCGGCAACTTAAGAACCAGTCAGGCTGAAGAAGGAGGCTTTCCGGTCTCGATTAGTCTCCTGAAGCAGCAGACAGTTATTGGTTGGCCAGATGGGCTGCAGCCATGGCGGTCGCCAAAGCAAAAACCCAGGTGTCGGAGGACTTTGGGGAGGTTGTTGAGAAGGACTTTTGGTTAGCTTCAAGGAAGTTCTGGCAAGCCGTGAAACGCCAAAGGAGGGGAAAGCAGGGCTTGTCTCTGGCTTTGTTAGGAGTAGTAGGATATGAGAACCGCTGACCTAGACTAGGAATATTGTCACACGGCTTCCCCTCGGGGGGAACCCTCATCCATATCCCTGGCAGAGGTTGCTGAGGTAGTCAGAAAACTCCTCAGTAACAAGGCACCAGGTGTGGATGAGATTCGCCCTGACATTGTTGGACAGTCCTGGCTGACATGTGGAGATCAGGTATTCCCTGGGGAGTGGCAGACCAGGGTGAATAAAAGGGAACTGTAGGATGTTTTTCCATTCACTAGGGCCTAGATTCTCAAACTGTGGTACGTGAGCTCCCCCTAGTGGTGTGTGGGGTTAAGTCATGATTTTTTTTTTACAATATTATCAAATATTTAAAAACTTAGAATGAAAATACATTAAACATAATAAATTCATATTTAAATTAAGTTCTGTCTTTCCTTTATTTTTGTCTCTGCTACATAGTTACGTTCATGCTCTTTGCACATGTGTGCTTGAGACATGATTTGTTATGAGTTGAAGTGTGCCCAGATATATAAACAGAGGTAAAAATGTAGAGACTTAAGATGAGTGGTTCAAGAACACTACAGTTGTGGCTCCACACTGGAACTATCATGAAGAGGACTGCTGTTCAGGAGGAGAATATTTGGAGCAGCCGTGTTCAAAATGAAGTGGAGGACGACCGTGAACCGAGCACAAGTGCTAGTGGCTACTCAAGAGGCGCCAGTGAAATGTCCACAGCACCCACTACCATCAGGTGGCGCAAAGCAGTAAGGAAATATGACTTGAGTTATCTCAAATTTCGATTTAGTTGGCATGGGACCGAGGAGGAGCCGAGGCCGCGGTGTGCGATATGTAGTGAAGTCCTCAGTAATGAATCCATGAAACCAGCGCATCTCAGACGGCACCTTTTAACCAAACACACTGCGCTGAAAGATAAACCACTGGATTTTTTTCTAAGAGAACGGGATGAACTGAAGCAGTCCAAGTCCACGATTCAGTCTTGTGTTACACCCACAGCCAAAGCATTGGAGGCTTTGTACCGTGCCAGCCTCTCCTAGCGAAAGCCGGTAAACTGCACATGATTGGCGAGCAATTGTGTCTGCCATTAGCCAAAGAAATGACACACATCATGTGTGGGAAAAAGCTGCCTAACATTTAACTCGGTGCTGCTTTCCAACGACACAGTGTCACGGAGAATAAGCACCATGGCAGATAATGTTAAAAAGACACTGACTGAGCGCATTAAAAGAAGTCGTTATTATTCCCTCCAGCTGGATGAAACAACCGATGTTGCAGATTTTGCTAATTTGCTTGTGTACGTCAGATATGCATGTGATGGTGCAGCTCAGGAGATTTTCTTTTCTGTCACCCACTGGAGACTAGAACTACAGCCGAGCACATATTCCAGCTACTGAACAACTTTATCCAAGAGAATGGGCTTGATTGGAAAAAGTGCGTCGGGGTTTGCACCGACGGCACCAGGGCGATTCTCACCCCTCTCATTAGGAGTATGTACGTTGTCAGTACTCACCAACATGTTGGCCAGTTCTTAATATTTGTGAGAAGTCCATCGCTCCCCTTTTTCTACTATATTGCTGCAGGTTATTTTTCTAAGTAGCAGAGTGTTGACAATAAGCACACCTTTGTCAAAGTGGGATTCAAAGACTGTATTTAGCCTAATAATGTTCAGACAGGTCTGTGTTTTTGGTTCGTGTAGTGCTGACTTGTCAAGATGGTAACAATAACAACACAAACGTTATTCATCTGTCATTCATACTGGCATTATGGACTTACTTTACTAATGCTAATGTTCATTCTTGTTATAGATTTGTGATATGGTGTGAGATTTCTGATGTTTCACATCTTTGTTGCTGAAAAATCAGTTTGGAAGTTGGATTATCTGTGAACTAGTTTAGAAGAATATTTCTCTCATGGCTGGATGTATGAATGAATAAAATACAGCTGTTATTCTTCATGTCCTCATTTGCTGTGTGTATGAGAAATAAAGAGGTGCTGATGAACCTTGCAGTGTGGCTGTGGCAGGAAATAATTAACAATAATGAATCCACATATTAGAAATAAACATGTCTCCTGTGTGAACTGTCCGTAGCTAATAAGGTAAGGCTCCGACACTGTATGTTTAGGTTGGTCATAATCGTGGTACTTGGAGAGCTCAATTTTTTCTTAGATGGTAGACAGTGTAAGAAGTTTGAGAACCACTGCATGAGGGTATAGCACTGCTCACCTTACCTGGGAGAGTTCGTTCCAGGTTGCTGGAAGAAAGGCTCTGACCGATTGTTGAACCTTAGATTCAGGAGGAGTGATGCGGATTCTGTCCTGGCCGTGGAGCATCAGTCAAGCTCTGTACCCTTGCAGGGCAGCTGGAGTTTGCCCTTCTAGTCTACATGTGTTTTGTGGACTTGGACTAGGGTCATTACTGCATTCCTCTGGGGAGTTCTGTGGGGGGGTATTGCGGAAGTACGGGGCATGGGGTCGTTGCAACAAGCCATCCAGTCTTTGGATAACTAAAGTGAGAGCTGTGTACGCATACTTGGCACAAACTCAAACACGTTTACAGTGGGTAGACAATACATCAAGTGAGCTACTTCAAAAAATGGCTGAACCCAAATGAAAGGAGGCTGGAGCACTCAGTAAAATTGCAGAGCTTTTAATAAGGTGCAAACAGACTGACGTTTCGACGCTACTGCGTCTTCTTCAGAGTCAAACAGGTAGGCTGAAGCGCAAGAGTGCCTTTCTTTGACGTTTACAGTGGGTGTTGGCCTCGCCAGTGTTGCCCCTTGTCACAAACTCTGTGTGTGATATCCATGGACAGGATGTCAAGGCACAGCTGGGGGGAGGAAGGGGTCCGGTTTGGGGTGCTCAGAATTGCATGTCTGCTCTTTGCAGATGATGTGGTTCTGTTGGCTTCATCACACCTTGACACTCCAGCACACACTGCTGTGGTTTCCATTCGAGTGTGAAGTGGTCGGGATGACAATTGGCACCTCCAAGTCTGAGGAAAACGGTGGATTGCTCCCTCTGTGCTGGCAGAGGTACTGGGCCAAGCAGAGGAGTTCAAGTATCTCAGGGTCTTGTTAATGAGTGAGGGTAGAATGGAGCCGGAGATGGACAGGCAGCTTGGTGCTGCATCAGCAGTAATGATTAAGATATTGTATGCTTGCATTAATTTAATATATTCTTTCATGTATGACTGTTTTTATTTGATCATTCCTCTATTTTATCTATTCATGAAGCGCTTCTGTCAACATGTGTTGTTTTTATATGTGCTCTGCAAACTTGACTTGACTCCTGGCAAGAATGCAAATAAGCATATTCCCCAAAATGTATTTATTTAAAATGAGGTTTTTCTTATTTCATGACATTAATTTCATTAAAAGTTGATATTATTTAACTTTAAAGGATCACACTGCACTAGACAGAAAGAATAATACAGTTTAATGTATTTTTCACACTGTGTTCCTTTCTGCCACAGAGCTTCTGAAAGAATAATTTCTTGTTATCCATGCTGATTTTACAGCCCCAAACAGAGCAGCGATGATTGTTGGCACCATTGTGGGCTCTCTGCTCCTCATCCTCATCCTGCTGGTCTTCATCGGACTTCTATACTGGAAACTAAGCAACAGACTTCGCTTTGAGAAGGAGTTCTCCAATGACATCAGGTACTGTACAGCACTGCAGAGACAGCAGGGCACAGTTAGAGGTGTTTGCAGCTTGACAGTTAGATAACTGAGCTGCTTCAGTTCGGGAACAGATCCACACACACTGTCTGGCAAGTTTCTGCTAGTGTTCATTTATCACCAAAAAGTCCCATGAGTAAGAAACTTCTGTCTCTGTTAGAGTTGAGTAGTTTTGTCAGCTTGCCAGTTTATGTTTAAGGGTGTGAACATTTGGATAAAACATCATTGTGTGCGCTCACACAGATTTTTACATCTGACAAATGAGTAATAAGATGCTTTTGGCTTCACGCTGCAAGTGAGAGATAGGCATCAAAACATGACATCAGCAATGAAACATTTAAAGACAGAGAGGCAATTATAAATCTGTATTACAAGATATGAAACAGAGTACATCAAGGCCATTCAGATAAGAATAGAAACAAAGTCCTGAAAGCGACATGTAAATGCAACAAGAATGCAGAGAAAAATATGTTTTATTTCAGACTCTCTGAGATAGCGCACTTTACTCAGGCAGGCTTGTTACATTTTGGTTTAATATCTCCGTGTTTATATATACACTTAATTATGCAGATCTACAGTCTCACATAAAGCCCCGCATTGTGCAGAACAATTGTCTAAAATCCGTTTGAAATCTGAGGGTTTATGTGACAAGTGCAGAAACAGATTTTCTTCAGGTATATTGATGCTGACGATATAAATAACATCAGTTCCACCAAATTCTTCATCTGAAAGCCTGAGTTGGATTCATTAAAAGTTACCAACTCTTTCTTCTTGTTGTTCTCCTCCGTCTTCCTTTAGAGTTGGAAACATGAGAGGCTCCCATACTGTCAACAAACACTCCTGGGTGTTCTCGTCTTAGAGTTGCAGCGTTAATATACAGTTTGTTAAATCTTGGAACAACATTGGAGGATATTGAAAGGATATTTCCCTCTTTGTGACTTTAAGAAGACTTTCCTGGATACAGCTAGTGCTATATGTATGTTTAATTTGAATTTAGATTTTCAGTGCATACAGTTAAGCTGAAGATGTGCTATGTTAACCTAGTTATGGGTTTGTTTTGAATTCTTAAACTCTGAAAGGCGCAGAAACAGTGAATCATCACAGCTGGATCTTTAAGCAAAACTTTAACATTTTGGGAAATACTCATTTTTTTCAGCGAGTTAGGTACGATGATTGATACCAGTTTTCAATCTGTTTGTAAAATATGAAGCTACAGAGAGGAGACTTTTAGCTTAGCTTAGCATAATGATTGTAAACAGGAAAACAGTTAGCCTGGCTTTATCCAGTGGTATCAACTATGGTGGCATATCTAAAGCTCGTAAATCAATGCAAATCAGTGCATCTCATTTGTTTAATCTGTACAAAAACAAAGTGTCAACAATTTGCGGCACTGTTTTTGGCTTGGATCAGTTGCTAGGCAACTAGCAGAGACCCCAGAATCTCTGTGAAGTGGTTGATTGTTGTGTTAATGCTTTGCTTTTTGTATAATATTAACAAATGAGATAAAACATATTGATTTGTGAGATTTAGAGGTGCTGGCGGGGAATTTTATACCACTGTAGCTAGGCGAGATGTTTCCCCCTGGTTCCAGTTTTTGTGCTAAGCTAAGCTAACCATCTCCTGCCTGCAGCTTCTTATATAAGGGAAAGAGGGATGTCAATCCTCTCATTTAACTCTCCCACAGAACAAGCGTACTTCCCAAAATGTCAAACTGTTCCTTTCACGGGTTCATCTATCTTGTGGCATCCAAAGAAAACATGATAACGAGTAACAACTATGCACTTTCCCTGCACACTTTGAAAACATTTCAGCATATCTTTAAACTTTCCCTCAGCTGAATGTGAAGGTTTTTGCCTTAAATGCTAAAGTTTAGTCCAATATCTTCATGATACATGTTGAAAGTGATAGGAAAATGTCACCCAGATTCAATAAGCATTTAAAAGTCAAATGTAAGAAGTAAAAAGAGAGATGGAGACAGGCTGCACCACGTAGCTTCGGTGTCAACTGAGGTTACTCTTTTAATGCCCCTTGATTTGATGTGTAGAAAATGAAACATTGGGACTTCCCTCGTGGGCAGACATAAGTGCATTCCTGCAGTATTATTGTTATTGCAGTTGCACACATATGAATAAGTAAATAACAAATAAAAGCACATCTCTGTGACATTCAGAAGCTAAAACACACTTGCACACAGTATGTTTATACAGCAAGAGGAAAATATAGCAGTTGCATAAATGTGTTTTGACAATTTGCCTTTTTTCCCTCGAGTACGAGTTTAAAAAAAAAAGTCATTTGAGGCAGGCGGCACAGTTTGCCCTCTGCCCTGTGAATATGCATCCAGGCTTTGATATAAAGAAACCATTTAGCAAATACAGATAACATAATATTTGCCTATGACTCACACATGCATATGTCAGTCAAAAGCACTCATGAGTGTACCCTGCCACTTGGAACTAAATGGTAGAGATCAACACATCTCATGTGTATGTATTACAATTTTTTTGTTGCTTTAGGGAAAGGTTGGGTGAGGCCATTTTGCAGTGGAGAAAAAAAATCACCATTCTTTCCTTTACAGCAAATCAAGGCAGCTTTATTTGTGAGGCACTTTTGAAATACAGACACATACTGACAGGCTTTTCAAAGTGCTTTACACAAAGCAAAGTAATGCACAAGGATAACATTTAAAAAGACACATGAGTAAAGTAAGGCTAGATGAATAGAATAAACATAACCAGGTGCAGAATATAGTTTTATTCCTGCTTGAACCTCTCAATCTGATCATGCTTTCAAGGTACTGCGAAACTACCTCAAAACAAACTATAAATCTCTTAGAAAAACTATATTAGTGTTGTGTAGCGTACATGTTGGCAGACAGCTAGGGCTGTACCCAAATATTCGGATATTCGAATATTCATTTCTATGGGTAGGTGTTCGTTATGAAAATTTGGTATTCAATATTCGTTTATTTACTTTTTTTTTTTTTTTTTTTACATTTGTTTTGGTGCTAAATGTAGTCTTTTTGTTGTTGGTAAATGTAGGTTATCAATAAAAATCAAAACTTTTAAATTGCATTGTTAAAAATGTGAAAATAGCCTACGGAGGTTGTGCGCACGGCAGGCTTGAGTGCATCCGTCTGAGGCTGTGGATCAATGCCAAGTTTTACCACTTTATCACTATTCCCTCTAACTTGTAGCTGTTTTTTCGTTATCTTTTGAATTTAATATGAATTATGGAACCGTTTTTGTCAACATTTGTTTCCCCCGTTTTGTACAATAAATTATTGTTTAAAGTTTCAACAAGTTTCTTTTGGAGTGCGTGACACAAGTGTGTTTTGAAAACGACCGCGGACTGTCACCTGCTCAATGCATCAGTACCTTCGGATGCCATGACAGTAAAAGATTATAGATTAATAGATTATAATAATAATGTCAAAATATCATTTACAGACCGATTTAACAGATGATCACTGCTGCCCGACCCGCAGGTCCATTTGCTGGTCCCACTGCATCACTACTCAGCTCAGTCTATAAAGGCTGTACACACAACAGTAAGGCTATAGACATTATATTCTATTCAGGCCGGCAGAACCAGCAGCGCATCGGCTCTACAGTGCACGGCACTGCCGATTAACCATTTTATTGCAACACAGAGTGTCTGCCAGCAACCAATTACTTACAGAGGCTTCCTACAACTTGTTTCAACGGTTCCGATTTAATCAGAAGACAAATTAAACAGGATGACTAGCCAATGTGAAAATCAAAAGAAAGCACAGAATAATGTACTGAAGGAGACTGTTGTGCCATCACATTTTTTTGTGGTTTGAGAGCAAAGATCCGGTCGCCACCGTGCAAAACTAATTAGGTCCAAAAAAGTCTGATTAGTGACTGTTGTTGCATCTCTCTCTCCTGCATTTCCTTCCCCTGTCTGTAAATAAGACCTAAAAAACCCAATGATATGTACTGTATATACAACATATATAAAAAGACCACCTTTACAGGGTTGAGGAAACTCATACCCACCAGACTTCAGCTAGTATTAGTCATTGCATACTGAGATTTAATACTGCCATGGGTACGTGTTGCTTTAGGTTCTGTTGGGTCAGGAATTAGAACAAGTTACCTTTGCACAGTTAAAGAAAAAGTAACCACTGAAGCTTTAATAACCACTGTAGTTATAATTTTTAAGTAACACGTAGGTAAAGATTCTCAGTTATCCAGGTCATAGTAATCTTAAGTGCTAAATCATAGGCAACTGGATTTTCTTGAAGATGTTTCACCTCTCATCCAAGAGGCTTCAGTCTTAAACGGACTGGTGCGGATGACTCTGAAACTCAGAGCTCATATATGACCTCAATTACTCTGTAAGGGTTCACACCCACACAGAGTGTAAAGCCTGAGACTCCGTGCCAGTCCATTTCGAACTAAAGAAGCCTCTTGGATGAGAGGTGAAACGTCTTCAAGAAATTCAGGCAAGTCCAGTTGCCTACGATATAGCATTTACATTTGCTGCGTAACTTTAATTTAATTTTTGGAATGTTTCATCCATCCATCCATCCATCCATCCATCCATCATGTGTAACCCCTTATCCTACTTAGGGTTGCGTGTGGTGCTGGTGCTTATTCCAGCTGACATTGGGTGAGGGGTGGGGTACACCCTGCACAGTTAACATACTTATCACAGTGGATGTTTGAGTCAGAGTATGTTAATGTAATGTTATTGATGATGTTGGTAATAATTGGTCTGGTGCTTGTATATCGCCTTGTCACACACTTTGTTGTGTCTTCCTTGATGTTTTTGTAGTCACGTGTGTGATTTAAAGGTCCAGTGTGTAGGATTTAGGGGAATATATTAGCAGAGATATTATTGGAATTTAATAAGTATGTTTTCTGTAGTGTATAATCACCTGAGAATAAGAAAATAAGCATTGTGTTTTCATTACCTTAAAACGAGCCATTTATATCTACATAGGGAGCAACTCTTCG